AAGGAGAGAGGGTGTCCACACTTTTGCTCTGTGCTGTATGTTTCTTTTGTTTCTTTTTTATTGACATTATTGATAAGAAAAGGATCCTAACGACCTTTGACCCCAGAGCACAAAGGGAGGATCTGCAAACAAAGGCTTTGTCCACGATATCATCAGCAAACAAACTCAAACTACCTCTGGGTCTAGAGCCTCAGTTCTGGGTCTACAGCCTCAGTCCTGGATCTACAGCCTCAGTCCTGGGTCTACAGCCTCAGTCCTGGGTCTACCGCCTCAGTCCTGGGTCTACAGTCTCAGTCCTGGGTCTACAGCCTCAGTCCTGGGTCTGCAGCTTCTGTCCTGGATCTACAGCCTCAATCCTGGGTCTGCAGCCTCAGTCCTGGATCTACAGCCTCAGTCCTGGGTCTACAGCCTCAGTCCTAGGTCTACAGCCTCAGTCCTGGATCTACAGCCTCAGTCCTGGGTCTACAGCCTCAGTCCTGGGTCTACAGCCTCAGTCCTGGATCTACAGCTCTCTATGAGCTGTAGATTGCTCTCTATGAGCAAGACACTGTTTCTGAGATAAAGTAGTGTTTCTGTGGTGGACCTTCAGACCCTCAGGGACCGGTCCAGACTCGGGGACTGGGGAGAAATCTTATCAGTATTTATTGTAGCAGGAAAATAAATGTTTGAGTGGCTGCCTTCAGGGAGGAGGCTGCGCTCGGTGGGATGTAGGACACAGAGGAGAAGGTCCACTTTTGTTCCAACAGTGATTCAGCTGCTGAACTCAGACCAGTCATTCCCCAGCGCAGTGTTAAAACGCTCCTAACATGAACTTATACAGGATGTGTGTGTGAATGTATTTATGTGTTTTTTATTGATGTTTTTAAGCATTTAACTTGCAACTCTCCGTGCTTTTTAATTGCCCCTCGGGGATAAATAAAGTGATTGATTGATTGATTGATTGATTGATTGAAGTTTTTCCAATGTGGTTTTACTGCAAATGGCAAATAAATGAATCTGAATCTGAATGGAAGTCATAGATTTCCTTGGTAATTTTTTTATGGACATTTATTAACATTTATAGACAGTGGTCAACCCTTTGAACCAATGACTATGTGTTTTAATCGTTGCATTTCCAGTGTTTTACTGTTTGATTCTCTGATCTGTGTTGGAGAATCGACAGCTTTGTAAAGTCCTCTGAGATAACTGCTGCTGTAATGTAGGGCGATATACAAATAAATTCAATTCAATCTGGAAAGAGTTGAATCATTTTTATGGTTTGGAATCTGTGACTCTATGTTAGCAATAGCGAAGCCTAAAGGACTGAAGCAACATATTCATAGAACCGTAGTTACATTAGGTAACTGGGGCTCATAAATCTGCTGCGAAGGGACCAGAGCCTTTGAAGCAGAGGTTTTGAAAAATAGTAGCTAGTTTTGGGCCGGAAGCATGAAAGTGTTTGAAGCTCATCTGTGGATATTTGTAAATGTACTTTCACATTTTCAGGTTTTTAATAATAATGCATCGGTTTTATATAGCGCTTTTTTGGACACTCAAAGACGCTTCACATGTGTCATTATTCATTCACTCCAAACACGGTGGTGATAAACTACTAATGTAGCCACAGCTGCCCTGGGGCACACTGACAGAAGCGAGGCAACCAGTATGTGCCATCGGCCCCTCCGACCACCACCAACCATTCACACACACACCAGACTCATTCTAGGCAATGGGGGTGAAATGTCTTGCCTAAGGACACAACGGCAGTTTGGCACTTTACAGCCGCAGCCGCCCCACTGTGGCTGGTGTTCCCAGAGGTTAAGTGTCTTGCCAAGGACACAACGACAGTAGTCAGTGGGAGTCGATGGTGAAAGTCTTGAGCGGGGCTTGAACCCACGACCTTCTGGCTCAAAGGCCAACGCTCTACCAACTAGTTTTAAGACAAAAGGATTACTAACCTGAGATTGGATATTCATTTTCTTGTAGATTTTTCTGAACAAAACTAGTTCAGTGTGGATTGAAAAAAATGGTTCAGCAGCAAACCCTTGAAGATGAAACAGAGCTGGGTCTTTCAACACAACAAGGATCTCAAACGTCGCCAAGACATCACTGCTGTAGAAGAAATCTGCAGGAGGAATGGGCAAAAATACCAGCAACAGTGTGTGGAAACCCTAAGGACTTACACAAAATGTTTGACCTCTGTCATTGCCAAAAAAGGATCTATAACAAAGTATTGAGATAGAACTTTTTACTAAATACTTACTTTCCTCCATAATTAGCAAATAAAAAGGCAAACACTCAAGATTAGGCCTCATTAATGAACAGATGATGAAGTGCTGATGAGAAAAACCCTATCCCTAACCCACAGGGGAAAGTGTCAGTTACAGTTAGTCAGATGTTGAATGTAGAATAAGGTGCTTAAAGAAGACTAATTAACGAATCGAGATATAACAATGATGAGAATTACAGTCAAAATTTCCCACCACAAGGATTTAAAATTACCCAATTTTTCTAGCTGACCAGCCCTGGGTCATTTAGACTCTTTTAGACCCTAATTTAGAATCTACTTTTAATCACTGGGGTTGACCCTTGCAATAATTACCCTCCAAAAGTAGAATAAAAATACACTAAATCAGGGTGTAAAAGGATCTAAATGAAGACCCTTATGAAGTCAAGTTAGGAAAATCATTGAAATGTAGCTTGAAAAAAATCATTTAGTGTATTTGTTCACTCATAGTACGAGCATAGATAGATAGTCCGAGCATAGATAGTCCGAGCGCAGATAGTCCGGGCGTAGATAGTCCGAGCACAGATAGTCTGAGCATAGATAGTCCGAGCATAGATAGTCCGAGCATCGATAGTCCGAGCACAGATAGATAGTCCGAGCATAGATAGATAGTCCGAGCGTAGATAGTCCAAGCATAGATAGTCCGAGCATAGATAGATAGTCCGAGCACAGATAGTCCGAGCACAGATAGTCCGAGCACAGATAGTCCGAGCGTAGATAGTCCGAGCACAGATAGTCCGAGCACAGATAGTCCGAGCACAGATAGTCCGAGCATAGATAGTCCGGGCATAGATAGATAGTCCGAGCATAGATAGTCCGAGCATAGATAGATAGTCCGAGCACAGATAGTCCGAGCACAGATTGTCCGAGCACAGATAGTCCGAGCATAGATGGTCCGAGCATAGATAGATAGTCCGAGCATAGATAGTCCGAGCATAGATAGATAGTCCGAGCACAGATAGTCTGAGCACAGATAGTCCGAGCATAGATAGTCTAAGCGTAGATTGTCCAAGCATAGATAGTCCGAGCACAGATAGTCCGAGCATAGATAGTCCGAGCACAGATAGTCCGAGCATAGATAGATAGTCCGAGCGCAGATAGTCCGGGCGTAGATAGTCCGAGCACAGATAGTCCGAGCAAAGATAGTCCGAGCATAGATAGTCCGAGCGTAGATAGTCCGAGCATAGATAGTCCGAGCATAGATAGTCCGAGCACAGATAGTCCGAGCGCAGATAGTCCGAGCATAGATAGATAGTCCGAGCATAGATAGTCCGAGCACAGATAGTCCGAGCAAAGATAGTCCGAGCATAGATAGTCCGAGCGTAGATAGTCCGAGCATAGATAGTCCGAGCATAGATAGTCCGAGCACAGATAGTCCGAGCGCAGATAGTCCGAGCATAGATAGATAGTCCGAGCATAGATAGTCCGCGCGTAGATAGTCCGAGCACAGATAGTCCGAGCATAGATAGACCGAGCATAGATAGTCCGAGCGTAGATAGTCCGAGCATAGATAGTCCGAGCACAGATAGTCCGAGCATAGATAGTCAGAGCGTAGATAGTCCGAGCGTAGATAGTCCGAGCATAGATAGTCCGAGCACAGATAGTCCGAGCATAGATAGTCCGAGCGTAGATAGTCCGAGCATAGATAGTCCGAGCACAGATAGTCCGAGCACAAATAGTCCGAGCATAGATAGTCCGAGCGCAGATAGTCCGGGCGTAGATAGTCCGAGCACAGATAGTCTGAGCATAGATAGTCCGAGCATAGATAGTCCGAGCGTAGATAGTCCGAGCATAGATAGTCCGAGCACAGATAGTCCGAGCATAGATAGTCCGAGCATAGATAGTCCAAGCACAGACAGTCCGAGCATAGATAGATAGTCCGAGCATAGATAGTCCGCGCGTAGATAGTCCGAGCACAGATAGTCCGAGCATAGATAGTCCGAGGCAGTCCCGTAGGTCTCTCCCATAGACAAGTCTATCCAGAGGATACGATGTAAGCTAGCTATGTTCACCTGGGCTTGATTTCTTCTTTGATCATGTTTTGCCTTTAGTTCCCTCTTCTCTTCCTCACTGTTGTGTTATTTGGGCTATTTTGCTGTGTCTGCAGTTACAGCCAGAGGAGTTATAGCCACTTATGCTAACATGCTACTGTGTTTAGCAGCGCCGTAGAGGCTAGAGGACGCAGCCTCGTTCTGTGATTGGAGGAGTCTCTACTCAACACTTTTTACGGCTGAATTCATACACAGCTGAATATATGAGCTCAAGTTTTACATTACATTTCGGATTATAATACAACTTGTATGTAGTAATAAGCATTTTTATGAACTCAATACTAAATGAATCGGGTATAGCTTCTTTAACGTTTTTATATTTTCATTCATGTCGAGGCCGTGGCCACGAGAACAAGAAGGTACGGAGAAGGACTGAGCAGCAGCGGTTTTTAGCCTCGGTTTTAGCTTTTAGTCGTGTTTTTAGCGTAGGTTTTGACAATAAATCATTTTAACTTTTTAATCCAGTGAAACCCGGGTCCAAAGAACCTGACTTCCATATCCGACATTTACACAGTTGGGGCTGAATAAACACTTTAGTGCCCGCTCTTCAAGATTCTCTAACTGTAACTATGAAAGTATAAAAGTGTACATGTATGAATAGCCCTGATGATTGTTTCCACGCGTCACTCAGACTCGTAAAGTGTTATCAGTGAGATTAGATCCAGAACCTTCTTCACTTCCTTATGACACTGCAGAAGCATTTCCTCAAAGAAGAAACTGAGACTGAGGACTCGGCTTCTGTCCAGACCCGTTAGTTAACCCTAACACACTGTGAGAATAATTATACTGCGCAAGAATGTGATGTTTTAAAGCTGGGGTACCTGACTTTCTTACTTCTTTCTCTTATTGATGTTTGTATGGATGCTGGACACACAGGGATCAACAAAGTATCTGTTTTTCTCTCTCTAACTCTCAATCTGTCTATTTAGATCCAGGACTGAGGCTGTAGACCCAGGACTGAGGCTGTAGACCGAGGACTGAGGCTGTAGACCGAGGCTGTAGACCCAGGACTGAGGCTGTAGATCCAGGTCTGAGGCTGTCCAGGACTGAGGCTGTAGACCCAGGACTGAGGCTGTAGATCCAGGACTGAGGCTGTAGACCCAGGACTGAGGCTGTAGACCCATGTAGACCCTGGAGTAGGACATGATGGAGAAACTGAAAGAGTCTAAACCCTGACCATGGTGGAAGCTATGAACACAGATCGTGCCGCTGTTGGAGGAGGAGGGTTGTGGCACGAGCTAAAGCACGAGATTTTCCCCTAAAACTGGAACAATCTTCCTGAAGGAGTGAGACAGGCTGTAGTCAGATCTAGTCTTAAAACAGTTCTTTTTTGACGTGACTATGACTGATCATCATCAAGTGTTGTATTTGGGGTTTTTTTAATGTTTTTTTTTGGTGGCGCAGTGGTTAGGGCTTTTTTTCTCCAGGTGCTCCGGTTTCCCAAAACCACAAACTACATGTAACAGATCTGGCCTCCTGTAGATGACCTGCTCCATCTCTGTGTGGAGTGACCATGGATCTGTAATAATGTCTGGATTGAGTACAACTGGCTTATAGCTGTCCCACCCATGGGCACAGGGGGCGCTGTGGTACTGCAGACTAAACTCATGTTACCCAGAAAAATGTCCATAGAACTCAATGCAAACTCAAACAGACCTCAGCTGACAGAGCGCCTGACAGAGAACCTGACAGAGAACGACTGAGCACACTGATTTGAACAGGCCTCCATCTTGGATTTCCGAGGCTTGTGGGTCAGAGACAAATGTAGCAGAAATCTGTAAAGTGCTATGTGCCTCTGTGAAAGGTGCTACGTGAATAAAGATGACCTACTTTACCGTACTTTACTGACAGTTGGTTATAAATATGAATTTAGTAAGAATCGTTCTAAAGAAATACATTTTGATTGCCTGATTGTCTCCTTGCCGAAAGCAGCGGTGGTTTGGATCCAGACCAGACCCAGGACCACGCCTCAGGGTTTATCTTATCTGGACACTCCTGGTCTTTATGGTGCTTCTGTTCTGACCACTCCTGGTCTCAGTCCACATCAGGAATGTCCCCTTGTTGCATTTGGTTTCGATATTTATGAAACAAAACTCCACGACTTCAAACAATGACGGTTTTTCCTATTTGATTTTTCATGATTTTACTGTTTTACGATGGTTTTGTTTTAGTTAGTAATTTATTGTGCTATATAAATAAAGTGGATTGGATCTCTCAGCAGGAGGCCAGTCCCTGTACTCCTCAGAGTCCCAGCCATAGACTGTATATATTAATGGACAGAGTCACGCCTATCTCCGCCGTTCAAACAAATGGGCCAAAAAATGTGCTCTACTGGAGCAATCCAAAATGGCCGCGAGTGGTCCCGCCCACAAGAAAATTGTGAAAAAACGCATCTGCGCATGCGTCAGCCGGCACAACTCCATTCATTTGAACGAGAGACTTTAAAAATTCTAGAAAAAACTAGAGTGGTCCAAAACACCCCCCTCAGCATTGACACACATGTGGAACGGAGCTTTGGACCCAGAGCCAACTTTTGGACCATCCTGTAAAGACGTTTTCGAGAGGTCTGCCAATGCTATATGTTAGCATTGGCTAATTCTTATTCTGGGTCCACCCCCATCGGCCCGGGGTGGTATTGCAAGCATGTCAGCGCACGTCATTTTGGCCACTTTTGAGCTGGGACCCGCCCCCACTGGTCCCAGCAGGACACTCTCTCTCTCTGGTCACTCTCTGGTCTCTCTCTGGTCTCTCTCTGGTCTTTCTCTGGTCTCTCACTGGTCTCTCTCTCTGGTCTCTCTCTGGTCTCTCTCTAGTCTCTCTCCGGTCTCCCTCTGGTCTCTCTCTGGCCTCTCTCTCTGGTGTCTCTCTGGTCTCTTTCTGGTCTCTCTCGCTGGTCTTTCTCTCTGGTCTCTCTCTGGTCTCTCTCTGGTCTCTCTCTGGTCTCTCTCTCTGGTGTCTCTCTGGTCTCTCTCTAGTCTCTCTCCGGTATCTCTCTGGTCTCTCTCTTGTCTCTCTCTGGTCTCTCTCTAGTCTCTCTCTGGTCTCTCTCTGGTCTCTCTCTGGTCTCTCTCTGGTCTCTCTGGTCTCTGTAGTTTCACTTTCCATTTCCACTGCTGCTGATACAGAATGATGTTGGTTCTTTCCCGTCTTTGAAGAAGATGTTGTTGAGGAACCTCAGTCGTCCTGGTCCTGGGTCTGAGTCCTGGTTCTGGGTCTGAGTCCTGGTCCTGGGTCTAAGTCCTGGTCCTGGGTCCGAGTCCTGGTCCTGGATCCATGGCACTGCTGCTGTAGCCATGGAGCTAATCTGAGCTAACCCAGACTACAGCGACAAGAGACTTTTAATCCAGGAGATGAAGGAAAGTGAGCGCTGGGTTTAGAATCTGGATTAGAATCTCCCCAAAGAGAGACCAGAGAGAGACCAGAGAGAGACTAGAGAGAGACCAGAGAGAGACCAGAAATAGACCAGAGAGAGACCAGAGAGAGACTAGAGAGAGACAAGAGAGAGACCAGAGAGAGGCCAGAGAGAGACTAGAGAGAGACCAGAGAGAGACTAGAGAGAGACCAGAGAGAGGCCAGAGAGAGACCAGAAATAGACCAGAGAGAGACCAGAGAGAGACCAGAGAGAGACCAGAGAGAGGCCAGAGAGAGACTAGAGAGAGACCAGAGAGAGACTAGAGAGAGACCAGAGCGAGACCAGAGAGAGGCCAGAGATAGACCAGAGAGAGACCAGAGAGAGACCAGAGAGAGACCAGAGAGAGACCAGAAAGAGACCAGGGAGAGAGAGAGAGACCAGAGAGAGACTAGAGAGAGACCAGAGAGAGACCAGAGAGAGACCAGAGAGAGACCAGAGAGAGGCCAGAGATAGACCAGAGAGAGACCAGAGAGAGACCAGAGAGAGACCAGAGAGAGACCAGAAAGAGACCAGGGAGAGAGAGAGAGACCAGAGAGAGACTAGAGAGAGACCAGAGAGAGACCAGAGAGAGGCCAGAGATAGACCAGAGAGAGACCAGAGAGAGACCAGAGAGAGACCAGAGAGAGACCAGAAAGAGACCAGGGAGAGAGAGAGAGACCAGAGAGAGACTAGAGAGAGACCAGAGAGAGACAAGAGAGAGACCAGAGAGAGACGTTATTTATCACTAAAGTTCTTAATAAATATTGTCAGGTTCTTTGTGTTTTTATAAGATCTGGCTCAAGAATCAAACTACTGCTACTATTCAAGTTAATTTGTGATTTCCACGTCTCATAAGTTTCGTTTAACCTGTAGAGACCTGCAGTGTTCACTCCCACAATTGTCCCTGAGAAAGTCACAAAGGTTAATATAGAGTGAGGGTGAGGGGGGTGAGGGAGGGAGGAGGGAGGGAGTGAGGGGACCATAAATCCTGGATAAGAGAGGATAGTCCCGGAACGGAGCCACACACGCCCTGCAGCATCAGGTGAGTCGCATCTGCTCATCCTCACGAAGAGTTAGAGATTTAGACTTTATTCTTTATTATAATAAAGTTAGAGATTTAGACTTTTTTCTTTATTATAATAAAGTTAGAGATTTTAGACTTTATTCTTTATTATAATAAAGTTAGAGATTTAAAATTTGTTACATTCACTGTACAAAAAAAAAGTTAAGTTAGATATGTACAAATGGTTCAGTTGGAAAAGTAATTTTGATTATTATTATTTATTTATTTTTATCTCTGTGGAGACTAGAGAGAGAGACCAGAGAGAGACCAGAGAGACCAGAGAGAGACCAGAGAGAGAGAGAGACCAGAGAGACTAGAGAGAGAGACCAGAGAGACTAGAGAGAGAGACCAGAGAGACCAGAGAGAGACCAGAGAGACCAGAGAGAGACCAGAGAGACCAGAGAGAGACCAGAGAGACCAGAGAGACCAGAGAGACCAGAGAGAGACCAGAGAGAGAGACCAGAGAGACTAGAGAGAGAGACCAGAGAGAGAGACCAGAGAGACTAGAGAGAGAGACCAGAGAGACCAGAGAGAGACCAGAGAGAGACCAGAGAGAGACCAGAGAGACCAGAGAGAGACCAGAGAGAGACCAGGAAGAGACCACGACGCGACCACAAAGAGACTGGAGAGAGACCAGAGAGAAATACCAATATGTTGCAGTGAAGATGATTCATTTTTGTGTTGCATTTATATGAAAATAAAACACTGGTTGTAAAAGTCTGATCTGACAAACTAAGAACAAATAGTCGCATATAGTTTTCATGGCCTCTCTCTGGTCTCTCTCTCTGGTCTCTCTCTGGTCTCTCTCTGGTCTCTCTCTGGTCTCTCTCTGGTTTCTCCCTGGTCTCTCTCTGGTCTCTCTCTCTCTCTCTCTTTCTCTCTCGGTCTCTCTCGGTCTCTCTCTGGTCTCTCTCTGGTCTCTCTCTCGGCGTGATAAGACGCAGTGATAAGACGAGGCCAAACCTTCATCCAGGAAGTCACGATCAGAGAGCTCTTCTTCCTCATGTGTCCACACAGAGGGGCGTGGCCTCTTAACCCTAACCCTAACCTTAACCAGCTTACTCAGACCACCTTAATCCTCTCTCTCTCTCTCTCTGTTTCTCTCTCTCTCAGTTTATCTCTCTCTCTCTCTCATCTCCCTCTCTCCCTCTCTCTGGTCTCTCTCTCTCTCTCATGTCTCTCTGGTCTCTCTCTCTCTCTCTCTAAGCTCATCTCTCTCTCTCTCATCTCCCTTTCTTTCTCTCTAAGCTCATATCTCTCTCTCTCTCTGTTTCTCTCTCTCTCAGTTTATCTCTCTTTCTCTCTCTCTAATCTCCCTCTCTCTTTCTCTCATGTCTCTCTGGTCTCTCTCTCTCAGCTCACCTCTCTCTCTCTCAGCTCATCTCTCGCTCTCTCTCTCATCTCCCTCTCTCTCTCATGTCTCTCTGGTCTCTCTCTCTCTCTCAGCTCATCTCTCTCTCTCTCTCTCTCTCTCAGTTCATCTCTAACCCCGTTGTGATATGTGTTGTGTTTGTGTTGCAGGACATTCCTCCTCGTGTCTTCAGCAGGATGTATCCGTCAGTGTCAGTGGTTCTCCTCCCTTTCCTCTGCTCAGGTCAGTTTCCACGGCGACGGCCTGTGACCTGTAATCATCTGTAGATACTGATTATTACTGACGATCAATAACCATAAACATGAGATTAGAGATTAGAGTCTGGGGTAGAGTTCTCTCGTATCCACGGCAACATCAAACAGATCAAAGTCAGTTATCTGGCAGTAAATAAGAACAGTAGTTAGACCTGTCTCTGGAAAGGATCATAGGTACATAACAGTAGTTAGACCTGCCTCGGTAAAGGATCACAGGTACAGAACAGTAGTTAGACCTGTCTCTGGAAAGGATCACAGGTACAGAACAGTAGTTAGACCTGTCTCTGTAATGGATCACAGGTACAGAACAGTAGTTAGACCTGTCTCTGTAAAGGATCACAGGTACAGATTCACATTTCATTATGTCATGGTCCTCGTCAAAACAGAGCCGCAGTTTTATCAACTCCATCCAAACATCTGCGGCCCTATAGGTCGTGATGCTATATATAAATATCTATGTATGATGCTGTCGTAGTGAAGGTTATTGACGAGGTTCTTGTTTGCAGCTCTTCTGTGTGGAGTCCTGGACGTCAGTTCTCAGGAGGCCGGGAACGCAACAACCCCGATGCCCTCCAACACCACGGCCCCTGGACCCTCCACCCCCGGTGTCCCTGGGACCACCCCCGGTGTCCCTGGGACCACCCCCAACTCCAACTGGACCACCCCCAACTCCAACTGGACCACCCCAGGTTCCTCTGATCCCACAACGGAGGCGACCCCGGCCCCTGCTCAGGGCCTGTCGGACGGGGCCATTGCGGGGATCGTCATCGGGAGCATCGCTGGTGCAGGTTTAGTCGGTGAGTGAGGCTGAGGCTGAGGAGGTTCTGGTGATTTCAAAGACAATGTCTCAGTGTAAAGTCTGAAGTTACTGTGTGCCCCCTAGTGGACATCAGAGTTAGTCAATGATTAACACATGCTTTAATCCAAGATGGCGGCGCATGGGACTATGGTCATTCCTCTGGTCCTCCCGGTTCTGCTCAGTGGATGAGCTCCCATGATGCATTGCGCCAAATACTAACAATGATGCGTGTGCGGCTCTCATGCACGTGCACAGAGGGCAGGGTTCTGACCAATCAGAGGGCAGCGTTCTGACCAATTAGAGGGCAGCGTTCTGACCAATCAGAGGGCAGCGTTCTGACCAATCAGAGCTGTCGATCAGAGCAGAGCTAGAGCGAGAGGAAATCCAGTGGAGTTTGTTTCACTAAAGTGTGGGTTTAAAGAAAACTGAAGGATTTAACAAGAAAAAAAGTTGTGGCTACAGTCGTTTATCACCACTGAATGAAGCGGATCATGATCATGGACTGTAAATATTGACGGGCGTTGAAACTTATGTGTGATCACCATTTTGGAGAGCCACCTCTGGACCAAGAGCCACTTTTGAACCAAGAGCCACTTTTGGACCAAGAACCACTTTTGGACCAAGAGCCACTTTTGGACCAAAAGCCACTTTTGGACCAAAAACCACTTTTGGACCAAGAACCACTTTTGGACCAAAAACCACTTTTGTACCAAGAACCACTTTTGGACCAAGAACCACTTTTGGACCAAGACCCACTTTGGGACCATCCTCATTGTAAAAATGCTCTGGATACAGTACTTCTATACTGTACTTCTACTTCTGTACACCCCCCCGGCAAGGAGCCAGATTACAGCATGAAGCGTCTTGGTGTCCAAAAAAAGGCATTATTGATATTATTATAAACCAGAATTTGTCTCAATCACTAATATTGTATTTGTATTTTATATTGGAATTTTTGTATCTATTTATTTTTTATTAATTCTGTTGTTATTCTCACTGCAGGTGGCGGAATCTACGGCTTACTGAAATACACCGGGAAAATCTAACTCCAGAAGAAGAAAAACAACGTGTGTGTGAGTGTGTCTGAGTGTGTGGGTGTGAGAATGTGTGTGTAAGTGTGTGTGTCTGTGTGTGTGTGTGTGTGTGTCCATGTCTGATAAGCCCCGCATCCAAACGTGTCTGGCCCAAAGGACGACGTAGACTGTTTTCTTTTATAATGATAATTTTTTTGTAAAAACCAGAGACAGAGATAATATAAATCAATATTGTATTTGTATTTTTTATAAAAGTTTTAAACCATTTGTTGCATTGTTTTATTTGTTTTATAGAAAGATAATTATTCATGAATCGGTGAGCAACATTAGTGTCACTCTGGTCTCTCTCTGGTCTCTCTTTTGTCTCTCTCTGGTCCTTTCTGTCTGGTCTCTCTCTGGTATCTCTCTGCTCTCTCACTGCTCTCTCACTGGTCTCTCTCTGGTCTCTCTCTCTGGTCTCTCTCTGGTCTCAGCTCTCTCTATGGTCCTTTCTGTCTGGTCTCTCTTTGCTCTATCACTGGTCTCTCTCTGGTATCTCTCTGCTCTCTCACTGGTCTCTCTCTGGTCTCTTTCTGGTCTCTCTCTGCTCTCTTTCTCTAGTCTCTCTCTGGTCTCTCTCTCTCTGGTCTCTCTCTGGTCTCTCTGCTCTCTTTCTCTAGTCTCTCTCTGGTCTCCCTCTCTGGTCTCTCTCTGGTCTCTCTCTGGTCTCTCTCTGGTCTCTCTCTCTGGTCTCTCTCTGGTCTCAGCTCTCTCTATGGTCCTTTCTGTCTTGTTTCTCTCTGCTCTATCACTGGTCTCTCTCTCTAGTCTCTCTGGTCTCTATCTGGTCTCTTTCTCTAGTCTCTCTCTGGTCTCTCTCTGGTCTCTCTCTAGTCTCTCTCTGGTCTCCCTCTCTGGTCTCTCTCTCTGGTCTCTCTCTCTGGTCTCTCTCTGGTCTCTCTCTCTGGTCTCGCTCTGGTCTCTCTCTCTGGTCTCTCTCTGGTCTCAGCTCTCTCTATGGTCCTTTCTGTCTTGTTTCTCTCTGCTCTATCACTGGTCTCTCTCTCTAGTCTCTCTGGTCTCTCTCTGGTCTCTCTCTGGTCTCTCTCTCTGGTCTCTCTCTGGTTTCTCTCTGGTCTCTCTCTGCTCTCTTTCTCTAGTCTCTCTCTGGTCTCTCTCTGGTCTCTCTCTGGTCTCTCTCTGGTCTCCCTCTCTGGTCTCTCTCTCTGGTCTCGCTCTGGTCTCTCTCTCTGGTCTCTCTCTGGTCTCTCTCTGGTCTCTCTCTGGTCTCCCTCTCTGGTCTCTCTCTCTGGTCTCGCTCTGGTCTCTCTCTCTGGTCTCTCTCTGGTCTCTCTCTGGTCTCTCTCTGGTCTCTCTCTGGTCTCCCTCTCTGGTCTCTCTCTCTGGTCTCGCTCTGGTCTCTCTCTCTGGTCTCTCTCTGGTCTCTCTCTGGTCTCTCTATGGTCTCTCTCTGGTCTCTCTCTCTGACCTCTCTCTGGTCTCTCTCTGGTCTCTCTCTGGTCTCCCTCTCTGGTCTCTCTCTGACCTCTCTCTGGTCTCTCTCTCTGGTCTCTCTCTGGTCTCTCTCTCTGGTCCCTCTCTCTGGTCTCTCTCTCTGGTCTCTCTCTGGTCTCTCTCTGGTCTCTCTCTGGTCTCCCTCTCTGGTCTCTCTCTGGTCTCTCTCTGGTCTCTCTCTCTGGTCACTCTCTCTGGTCTCTCTCTCTGGTCTCTCTCTGGTCTCTCTCTGGTCCCTCTCGCTGGTCCCTCTCGCTGGTCTCTCTCTCTGGTCTCTCTCTGGTCTCTCTCTCTGGTCCCTCTCTGGTCCCTCTCTGGTCACTCTCTCTGGTCTCTCTCTCTGGTCTCTCTCTGGTCTCTCTCTGGTCTCTCTCTCTGGTCCCTCTCGCTGGTCTCTCTCTCTGGTCTCTCTCTCTGGTCCCTCTCTGGTCTCTCTCTCTGGTCTCTCTCTGGTCTCTCTCTGGTCTCTCTCTGGTCTCTCTCTCTGGTCTCTCTCTGGTCTCTCTCTGGTCTCTCTCTGGTCTCTCTGGTCCCTCTCTCTGGTCTCTCTCTGGTCTCTCTCTGGTCTCTCTCTCTGGTCTCTCTCTCTGGTCTCTCTCTGGTCTCTCTCTCTGGTCTCTCTCTCTGGTCCCTCTCTGGGGTCGCTCTGGTTGCACACATTATTTTCATTTGCACATACAGTTTAGTTCCTGGACTGATAGCAAAATATCCGTATGAGAACCCATATTAGAACCATATTCTCTAAAACAGGAACACCAAAATAATTTATTGTGGAATTGGTTCAACACTGTTTACTTTTGATTATGATTTTGATTCATGATAATAGAAAAGTTGTGGCTTTTTTCTTGATAAAATTATCTTTAACGATGTCTAACATGTCAAATGAGCCCAGACTCTCAGTGGGGGCCGCGCTGACATTTACCGTTGATGACCCCACGGTTTCTGCCTCCGTCTCATTCACACAATAATTCTGTGAGGATATGTTCAAATACGTGCTAATTGTGACGTGACTGTTGTAAAACTACTACAAACATGAACTTTGGTTTGTGTCTCACCAAAACAAAGCCAGTGCCGGGAAACAGGATGCGAGGCCTCGGAGTTTCAGATCCCAGAGAGCCCAGTAATGAGTGGTTTATGGCCCGAGCGCGGCCTCCTGCTGCAGCACCAGTGAACTTTGGCCTCGCTCTGTTTTAAACACACAATTATCCTGGTAATGTACACACAGGACGAGGCGGCCCGGAAAAGAAAACATAATAAAACATAATAAAACATAATAAAACATAATAAAACATGGCCCATCTGCTGCTACAGCCGATGACATCATTTTTATTTACTGTCATTTATGTCAGAGTGTCAAATAGTTGTTGCTTCAAAGCCAAAGGTCAACACGTTTTTATGTTTTATCAAAGTATAGACTGAACTTCTTTCCATTTCATTTTTAGAAATAATTATGCCCAAATATGTGACATTGTTTTGACTGGGATTTCACATAAAGATCCTAAAGTTCTTTTCAGACACTTTTCAAGTCTCTTCACATGTCATTATTCTTTCGCTCTAAACACAGTGATGATACTATTGTAGCCACAGCTGCCCTGGGGCACACTGACAGAAGCAAGGCAACCAGTCTGTGCCATCGGCCCCTCCCACCACCACCAACCATTCACACACACACCAGACTTATTCTAATGCGGGTGAACCCATTTGAGTCTTTGGGCAAAAATAGAAGCTACAGAATCATCAATCATTAGACAAATCGGGTGCCAGGTATGAGGGCAGTTACTCTGGAGCTGAGCCTGGAGCTGCAGGAGGTGAAGAGGGAGCAGCAGGAGGTGAAGAGCTGACCCTGAAGCAGCAGGAGGTGAAGAGGGGAGTCTGGGCCACACACTATTTTATCATAATTGCTCCCGGGGCCCACTAAAAATATTTACTTTTCCACCAGATTTCATGAAAATAACTGATTCATATATTTGTTTTTTTTAACTTCATTCACTCTTAATAAGTGCTAAAACTGGTTAATATAACTTGAAATACAGCAAAAACAAGATAATGCTAAAGAGGAATGACAAGTAGACATGCTATGGTAACTGGCACTTGCTCTTCTCTGTGGAAAACCAAGCTCAGTCCAGGACCAGTCCAGGACCAGTTCAGAACCAGCACCGGCTTATTTACAGTGCAATAGGTTTTAAATAAGGAGTTGATGAATCAGTCTGTGATAAACATGACACTGTTTTCTTTTCTATGTTCTTCTATTGTATTCTTGTTTCCGCAACACAAATTTTGGCCAATAGAGGGCGCCCCAAAACCCACTTCGGGGACCACTGAGCTGAAGAAAAACCTTCCTCTTTCATTCAATGGGCTATAATCTAATATAATATTTCCTGGCTACATTATAATTGTCGGCACTAGATCATATACGGAATTGGGACGAAACCGGAAGTAACACTCGAACTTTCGAATTAGTTTTAGACTAATGAGTCCTTAAATGGTGATTGGTTAAGTTTTAGGCGTCAGAGTAAGATGGTTAAGATTAGGGTTAAGGCTGGGTTGGGGTTATTTTATGGGAATGGCTGGTTAAGTTTAGGCATTAATAGGTAATTTGTAATATTTACTTCCACTTCCGTCCCGATTCGTATGATCTAGCCATGGATCTAAATTTAGTGCTGACCATATTATAATAGATCATAGTTGTCATGACTACCAGATCTACCAGTCTGCTGAAAATCTATGAATTTGTATTTTTATCTATTTTTTAATCCTTGCCTTGTAATTGGTCTCTAAGAGAGTTTGTATTGATTTAAATGTTGTATTTAAAAACAAATATATAAAATAAAGTTCTCTCGTGCCGCGGCAAAGCGTCCACTTCCGGCGGGTAAATCAAACTGCATAGGACCCGGATGTGACGCCTTCAAGGTAGTATCACAACAACCTCCACCGGTCCCGGGTCCAGTCTGGGTCCAGTCCCAGTCCTCACCATGGCCTCTCCCCGCGGGACGAGCCCCAGGAGAGGCGCTCTGGGCAGCCGGGTGCTTGCCGAGAGGAACCAGGCGGCTGCAGCGGTGGGAGTGTGGGTGGAGAGCGGACTGGAGCTGTGGAAGCACCCGGGGGTGAGTGCCCTGTGGGCGGGGAAGGGTCACGTTAGATACAGCCTGGAAGTGGGAGAGAGTCCAGAGAGAGAGTCCAGAGAGAGAGTCCAGAGAGAGAGTCCAGAGAGAGAGTCCAGAGAGAGAGTCCAGAGAGAGAGTCCAGAGAGAGAGTCCAGAGAGAGAGTCCAGAGAGAGAGTCCAGAGAGAGAGTCCAGAGAGAGAGTCCAGAGAGAGAGACCAGAGAGAGACCATAGAGAGAGAGAAAGAAAAGAGAGATCAGAGAGCCATCGTGCTGAGTGATAGCACTCTCGCTTCGCAGCAAGAAGGTTCTGGGTTCGAATCCCGGTCGGAACAGGGCCTTTCTGAGTGGAGTTTGCGTGATCTCCCCGTGTCTGCGTAAGTTTTCTCCGGGTACTCCGGTTTCCCCTACCACAAAAACATATGCAGGAGTTCAGGGTGAATGAGTGTTTGTGTGAATGTGGGACAACGGATGGAAATGAGCCCAAGGTACAGGAGTGATGTGATGTGTACTGTCCCGACCAAATAAACAATAAGGATACAAGAGAGAGACCAGAGAGTTTTTTGAGGATTGCAGTAATTTGGGAGTCCTAGTCTTGACAATGAAGATAATCTTTGCCTCATTAAGATCAGAAAGAGATTCTTTACTTGTCTCACAGTGAAATGTCAGTTTGCATCACCAGTTACAGTTGGAATGAGGATCACTTGGCACAAGTGAAACTCTATAGTCAAATTTTAAAAAATTACTAACTTTAGCATAATAAAGAAGCAAGTATAGTATAGGTTGTTGGTCGTTGTACAGTCTGAGGCTTCTCTAACAGCAGTGCTGTGTGTGTGTCTGCAGGAGCAGGCCTCTCACACAGAACGCCTCCTGCAGGAGCAGCAGCGCAGGTGCGAGCTCAGACTCCAGCTCTTTCAGGAGGACGTTCGACATCGAGTGGCTCAGCATCAGCGGCTCCGGAGGCAGACCACCACAGCACAGGTACAGGTTAGCTTCATGATGAGCAGACCACGACAGCACAGGTACAGGTTAGCTTCATGATGAGCAGACCACGACAGCACAGGTACAGGTTAGCATCATGATGAGCAGAGGACCACAGCACAGGTACAGGTTAGCATCATGATGAGCAGAGGACCACAGCACAGGTACAGGTTAGCATCATGATGAGCAGACCACGACAGCACAGGTACAGGTTAGCATCATGATGAGCAGAGGACCACAGCACAGGTACAGGTTAGCATCATGATGAGCAGAGGACCACAGCACAGGTACAGGTTAGCTTCATGATGAGCAGACCACGACAGCACAGGTACAGGTTAGCTTCATGATGAGCAGACCACCACAGCACAGGTACAGGTTAGCTTCATGATGAGCAGAGGACCACAGCACAGGTACAGGTTAGCTTCATGATGAGCAGACCACGACAGCACAGGTACAGGTTAGCATCATGATGAGCAGACCACGACAGCACAGGTACAGGTTAGCTTCATGATGAGCAGACCACGACAGCACAGGTACAGGTTAGCTTCATGATGAGCAGACCACCACAGCACAGGTACAGGTTAGCTTCATGATGAGCAGACCACGACAGCACAGGTACAGGTTAGCATCATGATGAGCAGAGGACCACAGCACAGGTACAGGTTAGCATCATGATGAGCAGGTCTGGTCCTGGACATGTATGTGATGTTCTGTTGTTTGCAGGTGCTGAGTGCGTCCAAAGCAGAGGGGAGCGTCCCGTGTGACTGGCCTCCACAGGACAGGGAGCAGGTAAAGACGGAGCCATGAGTTTCTGTTTCTTCAGTGTCTGCAGTGTCATAGTTCAGCCTCTGGGGGGCAGTGCTGTCTGTAGATCAGGCTGCAGACCTGTGTGAGAGGCGTCATGGTGGCTCTTTCTGTTGACCATAAGCATCCTTCATCATCATCATCGGTCAGAAGAGCAGGGCCCCGCTCTTGAGGACATGCTCACACTTTCACTCACTGAAGTCTTCATGCTCAAAGTGAACCATCAGCAGCAGTTTTGCAACAGTGAAGGGAATGTGAACCAATAGGAGGATCTTTGAGTAAAGTCGTTAGTGTTTCCGTGCCGGTCACGTGACTCTTTTAAAAGTACTCGTTGCATTCATGCTTCAGTTTGTGCCGCTCTGTCTTCTTTCCACTCAGCGAGTCCAACGGATGTAAACTATTTCATTTCATTTTAACCTATTTAATTAAATCTTAAGGACGACTCAGTTTTTCCTTGACAAACTCTGTTCATACATTCAGAAGTCCAAGATGTGTGTGTCTGTCTGTCTGTCTATGTGTGTGCGTGTCCGTCTGTCTGTCTGTCTTTCTGTGTGTCTTTCTGTCTGTCTTTCTGTGTGTGTATTTCCTGTCCTCACACACTGACTGTTGTTTTACAGAGAGCTGCGTGCTCAGTGCGTCAGCGTCTGGCTTGTCCTGGTCCTCTTCCTCCTCCTCCTCCTCAGCTCAGTGACCATGTGAGTCCCTTCCTCTTCCTCCTCTGACTCTTCCTGGTGTGACTCTCAGTCACAGACCTCTGCTCTAACGTCAGAGACAGACACTGGAATAATAAATGACTTGGCATTTTTAACACGTGACCCAGACAAAAATAAACCATGGAACAAAAGTTGATTTTGTCTTGGTTCTTTTAATAATATCCATCCATCCTTCCCCTTAATCCATTTCTGGTTCGGGGGGGTGACAATCAGAGCTGCACCCAGTACACAGAGCACCAGCCCCTCCCTGATCCTCCTGCAGGTGGTGAGTCCACAGGAGCTGAGATCTTTCAGTGGGGGCATCAGGCAAAGTGGGGTTAAGTATCTTGCCCAAGGACACAATGACAGCAGACATCAGTGGGAGTCGTGAAATAGGTCTTGTGGTGGATTCGAACCTGCGACCTTCAGGCCCAAAGGCCGATGCTCTTCCAACTGAGCCACTGCCCCCTCTAATTAAATAATTAATAACAGATAATTCCTTAATTATTGTTTGTTTGTTGTGTTTGTATTTTATGGACTTCGAGTCTGACAAATAAAGTGTCAGACTTTAATAATGAGACAAAAAAGTAAAGAAGCTGTTACTGCTTAATTACCAAATGCTTAGACTTCCGCCTTCGTCAGAGACAGCGTTGGTGTGTCTCTGATCTGCTGTTGTTGCCGGATGTGGTCAGTTGACAGATCCCTCACAGAGAGAGAGAGACCAGAGAGTAAGAACAGAATCACAGAGAGAGAGATACCAGAGAGTAAGAACAGAATCACACAGAGAGAGAGAGAGAGAGAGAGAGAGAGAGAGAGACCAGAGAGGAAGAACAGAATCACACAGAGAGAGAGACCAGAGAGTAAGAACAGAATCACACAGAGAGAGAGACCAGAGAGTAAGAACAGAATCACACAGAGAGAGAGAGAGAGAGAGACCAGAGAGTAAGAACAGAATCACACAGAGAGAGAGAGAGACCAGAGAGGAAGAACAGAATCACACAGAGAGAGAGACCAGAGAGTAAGAACAGAATCACACAGAGAGAGACCAGAGAGTAAGAACAGAATCACACAGAGAGAGAGAAACCAGAGAGTAAGAACAGAATCACACAGAGAGAGAGAGATAGACCAGAGAGTAAGAACAGAATCACACAGAGAGAGAGAGAGACCAGAGAGGAAGAACAGAATCACAGAGAGAGATAGAGAGACCAGAGAGGAAGAACAGAATCACACAGAGAGAAACCAGAGAGTAAGAACAGAATCACACAGAGAGAGAGACCAGAGAGTAAGAACAGAATCACACAGAGAAAGAGAAACCAGAGAGTAAGAACAGAATCACACAGAGAAAGAGAAACCAGAGAGTAAGAACAGAATCACACAGAGAGAGAGACCAGAGAGGCAGAACAGAATCACACAGAGAGAGAGACCAGAGAGTAAGAACAGAATCACACAGAGAAAGAGAAACCAGAGAGTAAGAACAGAATCACACAGAGAAAGAGAAACCAGAGAGTAAGAACAGAATCACACAGAGAGAGAGACCAGAGAGGCAGAACAGAATCACACAGAGAGAGAGACCAGAGAGTAAGAACAGAATCACACAGAGAAAGAGAAACCAGAGAGTAAGAACAGAATCACACAGAGAGAGAGAAAGACCATAGAGTAAGTACAGAATCACACAGAGAGAGAGACCAGAGAGGAAGAACAGAATCACACAGAGAGAGAGACCAGAGAGTAAGAACAGAATCACACAGAGAAAGAGAAACCAGAGAGTAAGAACAGAATCACACAGAGAAAGAGAAACCAGAGAGTAAGAACAGAATCACACAGAGAGAGAGACCAGAGAGGCAGAACAGAATCACACAGAGAGACCAGAGAGTAAGAACAGAATCACACAGAGAAAGAGAAACCAGAGAGTAAGAACAGAATCACACAGAGAAAGAGAAACCAGAGAGTAAGAACAGAATCACACAGAGAGAGAGAGAGAGACCATAGAGTAAGTACAGAATCACACAGAGAGAGAGAGAGAGAGACCAGAGAGTAAGTACAGAATCACACAGAGAAAGAGAAACCAGAGAGTAAGAACAGAATCACACAGAGAGAGAGAGACCAGAGAGTAAGTACAGAATCACACAGAGAGAGAGAAACCAGAGAGTAGGAACAGAAGAGCATAAATACCAAAGATGGAGACAAGAGGCGGGGTGCACGGACCATCAGCAGAGACGAGGGGGCCTTCACCTTGGCTCACACTCGGGATTCACTTCTGCAGAGACCACAGGGGGCGTGGTCAGCCTGTGGGGTGTGTTTACACATGTGGTCATTAAACAGTAGCAGCTTCTTTACTTTTTTGTCATTAAAAGAACCTTCTAATCCTCGACTCATTTGTGGCATTTCCCTTTTTGTTCTTTACACGAGTTTGAATCATGGATCTATAATAATATGGACTGAAGTGACCGGACCTGATGAGACTGGACCTGATGAGACTGTACCTGATGAGACCGGACCTGATGAGACCAGACCTGATGAGACCAGACCTGATGAGACCGGACCTGATGAGACCGGTCCTGATGAGACCGGACCTGATGAGACCGGACCTGATGAGACCGGTCCTGATGAGACCGGACCTGATGAGACCGGACCTGATGAGAGCAGACCTGATGAGACCGTTTTGAAGTGTGTGATGTGTTTTCAGCAGAGTCCAGAGAGGCCTGTGTCTGAGAGGAGATGCTCCAGGCGCTCCAGGATCCTGTGGCCCATCGACAACTCTGAGGAGCTGCGGAGAGAGGTGCTTTACTCACATCAGCTGCAACACCCTCTTCAACAAGTGTGTGTGTCCGAGTGTGTGTCCGAGTGTGTGTCCGCGTGTGTCCGTGTGCGTGTCCTTGTGTGTGTCCGTGTGTGTGTCAGAGTGTGTGTCTGCGTGTGTATGTCATCTGTTTGTGTGTGTGTGTGTGTGTGTGTCCGTGTGCGTGTCCGAGTGTGTGTGTCATCTGTGTGTGTGTGTGTCCGTGTGCGTGTCCGAGTGTGTGTGTCTGTGTGTGTGTCCGACTGTGTGTCCGCGTGTGTATGTCATCTGTGTGTGTGTGTCATCTGTGTGTGTGTGTCCGTGTGCGTGTCCTTGTGTATGTCCAAGTGTGTGTTCGTGTGTGTGTCTGTGTCTGTGTGTGTCCGAGTGTGTATGTCATCTGTGTGTGTGTGTCCGTGTGCGTGTCCTTGTGTATGTCCGAGTGTGTGTCCGTGTGTGTGTCCGAGTGTGTGTCCGACTGTGTGTGTCCATGTGTGTGTCTGTATGTGTATGTCCGTGTGTGTGTGTGTGTGCCATTTAACATTGGTTCAAAAAGGATCTTTCTGTGTGGAGTTTGCATGTTCATTGTCTGAGTAGGTTTCCTCCGGGTGCTCCTGTATCCCTTACCACTAAAAACATGTACACTAGGTGAGGTCCTAATCAGATTCAGATTCATTTTATTAGCCATGTGCAGTATAAAAACTACATTGGAATACATTTGCAAAAAAAAAAAAGGTACTCTGTGTGCACCGACAGAATAAAGAGCACGATACAATGTAATATAAAATATACATACACTGAATATAAAAGAAAAAAACAGCTGACACTGTGGCACCGATCAACAAAACGATACAAGGGGTAAAAGCAGGAATTAAAGTGCTCTGTTTAGGCACCTAACAGCCTGTGGAAAGAAGCTGTTAGCATAGCGAGATGTCTTGCATCTCAGCGACCGATATCTTCTGCCAGAGGGAAGAAGCTGGAACATGGCTTTCCCAGGGTGGCCAGAAGAGTCATTGATGATTTTAAGAGCTTTGTTTAAAAGTCTGGATTTATAAAGAACCTCCAGAACCGGAAGCTCACAGCCCACGGTCCTCTTTGCAGAGCGGAGCGCCTTGTTTAAAGCTCTCTTTTCTTTATCTGCTATGTTTCCAAACCACACAGACACAGAACCAACAAGTAAACTCTCAATGGTGCAGCCATAAAAGTTAAGCAGAATTTTAGAGTTAGTGGTAAATTCTCTAAGTCTACACTAGGTGAGGTCCTAATGAGTGTGGGACTGCAGATGGAAATTAGGTCCAAAAGCTACAATTTGGTGTATTTACAGTCACTGCTATTCATTACTACACACTTTCCCAAATAAGTCACAAAATATCTAGTTTGCATTAGACCTGGACTTTCCCTGAGTTTTTCCCATGGACTGTAAATATTAACAGATGTAGTCACTTCTATCTCCGCCATTTAAACTAATGTGACATCACTTTCACCGTCTATGGGCAGTTTCAAAATGGCCGCAGGGAAAATGTGAAAAAGCACATTTATGTGTTAGCTGCATTAGCCCCATTCATTTAATGAGTGCATTCTAAAGTCCACAGCGACTAAACTAGACTGGTCCAAAAACAAATACTTCAGATAGCATCTGGAACCACTTTTGGACCAAGAGCCACTTTTGGACCAAGAGCCACTTTTGGTCTCTGAATGGTCGGTCAAAATTCAACCGATTGTAATCGCAAACACAAGGACTAGACCCAGACGTTACACGCAGTGAAATGAGTATTGAACGGAGTGTATGGATGGCTAAGGCCAGGCTACGTTTGGACCATCCTGTAAAGAGGTTTTCGAGAGGAAAGAAGAAGCCAACACAAAAGCGTTGGGTAATTCTCTTTCTGGGTACACCCCACCAACCTGGAGTGAGACCTTTTTGAGACAGGACCCGACCACACTAGTTTTTCCGTTGACACATGATACATGTGTGTGTCGTGATTGTGTCGTGTGTTGTGTGTGTGAGCAGCGGCAGGCCCAGATCCTGACACAGCGGCGACTCTTCCTGAGTAAAGACCGACAGATGGTGAAGGAGACCGAGGAGCAGCGGCAGCACTTCCTGAAGACGGCCAGGTATTACCAAGCCCCGCCCCCCAGAGTGTAACATCACCCGCAGTGTGACTGACAGGTCCTTGTTCCCGCCCATGTGGCTGCAGCCTGAAGGCAGAGAAGGAGCGAGTGCGGCTGGAGGCGGAGAGCAGACTGAGGCAGGAGCGAGTCCAGGCCGCGGCCCTTCAGAGACTGCAGCAGAGGGAGCAGCAGATCTACGACAAGCTCCGACTGGAGGAGGTGGAGGGAGGAGGGGCGGAGGCAGGGGACAGGCAGAGGTCACACACACCTGTATCCAAGACGACCAGGTGAGCAGAAGGGAGTAAGGCTGAGGCAACACACACACACACACACACAGACTGAAGCTAACAGACACACACACACACAGACTGAAGCTAACACACACACACACAGGCTGAGTTTAATACAAACATAAATGGAATTGAATGTCCTCCAGGCAGGTGCAGGCGCTGCGAGCCCAGGTGAGAGAGCTCTTCTCTGGGTCGGGCTCGGAGCCTCCCCCCCTCTGCTGCTGTGGATCCTTCTGGGACAGTCACCCAGACACCTGCGCCAACAACTGTGTGTTCCACCACGACACACAAGGTACACACAAACACACACACGCACACACACACACACACAAATGTGAACAAGGTACACACACATGCACACACACACACACACACTTGCACAAGGTATACACACACACTCAGAGTTGCACTCTCATTCATATATAAACACAGTCAGAGTCAGGCGTGTGCGGCTGTGGCATGTGCGGCGGTGGCGTGTGCGGCTCTGGCGTGTGCGGCTGTGGCGTGTGCGGCTGTGGCGTATGCGGCTGTGGCGTGTGCGGCTGTGGCGTGTGCGGCTGTGGCCTGTGCGGCTGTGGCGTGTGCGGCTGTGGCGTGTGCGGCTGTGGCGTGTGCGGCTGTGGCGTGTGCGGCTCTGGCGTATGCGGCTGTGGCGTGTGCGGCTGTGGCAACTGTTCGTATCAAGAGAAGAACTCATGGAAACGCCATTTTGATCAAATGTATTTCTCTGAACAGGTTTTAATGTTCAGGAAATGACTTTGTAGCATCTGCCACATTCACAGTCTTCACTTCGCTGACTGTCACAGAAACACTGCTGTATTATTGTGTGGTATTCAGTTGTTGTAACCGCGGCAACAGAAAGAACAGTTAGATCCAGTTGTAAATGCTGCTGGGCTTGTGTGAGTGACATGTGTTTGTTGTGTTCACAGCGTACGTCCAGGCTCTGCAGACAGTGCTCCAGAGCTGGGCTCTGCTCTGACATGTCCCCAGGCCTCCTGCTGGGGCCTCCTCCTCCTCCTCCTCCTGGGTCCTCCTGCTGGGACGTCCTCCTCCTGGGGCCACCTTCTGAGACCTCCTTCTGGGGCCACTTCCTCCTCCTCCTGGGGCCCTTTAGATTTTGGATCAGTGATGGACTCTTGTCACTTTTACAGTGTTGAAACTGGATTTAAATTTTTTTCTGGATGTATTTATGATCAACATTAAACATTTGTGTTTTTTATTTGGTCTGAGAATGTTCATATTTGATGGATTCAGAGGTCTGTGTTTCTGCCCACGTCAGCAGAGGTCCTACATGGCCCAAGTAAAAGTACAGTTTAAATACTAATCATTAGAGAAAGCTGATCTAAAGTGTGACCAAACAGCTCAGGAATGGGAGCACAGCAGGACACCACTGTTATGTTTTAAATCTTAAATGATAATTTACTATTTCCATATTTGGTCTAATGAGCAGGAGCAGGAAGGTTTGAGGAATTAAACAAGAGTGGGATTGTAGATCCATGGATGGCACAGGAGTGAGATGTTCTGTCCCGTGTCTATTGCAGGAGCAGACTAGTACAAAGTAATGTAGCTTATGATGCTAGCGTGAGGCCTCAGTGTCTTCTACAGAAAGACCATGGATCTATAACACACTTAGACTAACACCATGTGAACAGATGTGTCTCCTGTACTATGTGAACAGATGTGTCTCCTGTACCATGTGAACAGACGCGTCTCCTGTACCATGTGAACAGATGTGTCTCCTGTACCATGTGAACAGATGTGTCTCCTGCTGGTGTGACGGTGCAGAGGATCAGAACAAAACACTATTTAATTTCAAGTTAATATAAATAATTTTCATTGGTGTATTTGACAGGGACATTGCACAATAAATGTATTGTTCAGACCGGATAAAGCTACAACCTCATTTTCACCCATAGTCCCTGAGGCAGAGTGACAGCAGCATGGATCTATTATAATAACTGCAGGTTTACAGTCTGCAAAGAACTGATGAACAGAAGGAATGGCCTAATTAGTAAAATACAATACAATTCAATTTATTCTTGTATAGCACGAAATCACAACAGCATCATCTTAGAGGACTTAACAAAACCATTGAAATCACCAACACAGATCAGAGAATCAACAGTTAAAACACAAAGAATATAGACCACATGTTGATAAATGTCATACATGTTGAAGAATGTTAAAGTGTCCTGATCATCACCACAGTCCTTCTAGTTGGACACTAACTGCCCAACAGACCCTCCTGCATCGGCAAGAAAAAACTCATAAGAAAACCCAGTGGGAAAAAGAGAGAAACCTCGGGGAGACCCACAGATTGAGAAAGGGATCCGCTCCCACGGACGGACGGGCTATAGATCCAGGACCTAAGCTACAGGACGTGGACCACATGGGGTGGACCAGCAGCCGCTGAACGTGGACAGGTCCGGTGCAGGACTGAAGCACTCCCAGGCGGGTCGTGCGGGGCAGTCCGCAGGTGGAGGAGGCCAGGCTCAGAGGTCCCGTCATCGTACCATGGAACAGACAATGGGACAACGGGTGAATAGCAATGAACAAACTACAGTCAAAACAAACACATGCATGAGATTTGTGTTGCTCTACATCAGTCCTCTGGCCCGTACTGTCCTCTACACTTCTGCATAGACTACACAGGGAGAGCATCAGAAGCCGCGGACCTACAGCCAGTTTACATACATAGACTGTATATATTAATATATTCACCCAAATAATGTTACGCGCAGATGTGCACAGTCAACGTGTTAACGCCTACTGTGTAAAACACCTCTAATCTCACAGACACACTAAACACAATCATTTACATCTGACTTGATTCTCTTTGAGGAATTGTTTCAGGCTGAGTTGTCCTGAGAATATAGAGCAAAAATAAACTTATTATTCCAACACTGAGTCTGTTTTATACTTGTTCTTTGTTGCTTACTTCCTATAGTTATTATGCATTTATCTTGTGCTGTGTGCTCCTCATTCCTACTGTTCTGTAACCGATGATGCAACACTGACATTTCCCCACAGTGGGACCAGTAAACAATCTGTTCATCAGACCTGCAACAGAGTAAAACTAATACATATTCAAACAAATCAATCTAATGTTAGAGAATTCAAAAACAGCTGAAAACATTTTCCTACAAGAACATCTGAACAAACAATAAATTAATACACAGAAAGTAACTTCAAAGTACTGCAGTAGTAGTAGCAGAGACAGTAATATTGTAGTAACACAGAAATTACAGTACAAAGTAATTCTCATGGATTACATTTATGAAGTGACTTTGACAAATACTGGGTTAGGTTCAGTCCAACTCTTTAGACCCACGGCTTCTTTGTCATAGAAAACAGAGTGACACCAGCTGCAGAAACTGAAACCACAGGAAACGGATTCTCAAAGTGCAGCAGAAAATCAAAAAGTCAAAGTCAGCAAAAAGTCTTTCTAAACTTCTCACGTGATTTTATTTTGTTTCACCAATATCATTATTTTGACCAATAGTTATTAATATTTCCACCTGTAGATCCACGTGTGAAACTTAAAAGACCCACAGACGGACTGCAGTGTGTGCGGACCGTAGTGAGGACAGTGACCACCCACACTGTGACGTCATCCTCCCAGTCACATGTCCACAGCCCCAGTCCGGAGTGGAAAAGCTGGATCACTTCTAAAAAGCACTTTGGAAAGAAGTCCCAGTGTCTCTTCTCATACCCTTCCACAGCCGTCTCCTCTCAGACCGCGATGGGACTCCCCCGGACCAGGACCAGGACGTCTCTCTCTGCTCTCCCCGGGTCCGTGCGCGTCTCTCCCCGGCTCTGAGCGGCTCCTTTCCCGGCCATGGCGCGCTCCTAGGACGCGGTAATAACAGTGTAATAATCACGCTCTTCCACTCGACACAATGAGGTCCTCTCTGGCCCCTGGGATCCGGCTCGTCACCTCCCTGTCCCGGGACACTTGGTGAGTTTGTTTTTGTTTGTGAGAATAGCACGCATGCGTTTGTAGACCCAGGACTGAGACTGTAGACCCGGATTGAGACTGTAGACCCAGTACTGAGTCCAAGCTTAACAAATTATGAACACGGGAAACTCTTTTCCATTCAAATATGTTTAAATATTGTTTATAAAGTTTGTAATCAGTAGTAATCCTAAACCAGAGCTGTTCAGTTGTCGGCCCTGGGTTCACATCAGGTCCTCAGTCTCCCAGAGGTGGCTTTTGTCTCGGTGGTTTCTGGGATGAGGACCACAGCAAATTACAAAGTACACCTGTTTTCTCTCTCTGGTTTCTCTCTGGACTCTGTCTCTCTGGTCTCTCTCTGGTCTCTTTCTGGTGTCTCTCTTGTCTCTCTCTCTGGTCTCTCTCTAGTCTCTCTCTCTGCTCTCCTTCTGGTCTCTCTCTTGTCTCTCTCTGGTCTCTTTCTGGTCTCTCTCTCTCTCTCTGGTCTCTCTCTAGTCTCTCTCTGGTCTCTCTCTGGTGTCTCTCTGGTCTCTCTGGTCTCTCTCAGGTCTCTCTCTGGTCTCTCTCTGGTCTCTCTCTTGTCTCTCTCTGGTCTCTCTCTGATCTCTCTCTGGTCTCTCTCTCTGGTCTCTCTCTTGTCTCTCTCTCTAGTCTCTCTCAGGTCTCTCTCTGGTCTCTCTCTGGTCTCTCTCTTATCTCTCTCTCTGGTCTCTCTCTGGTCTCTCTCTTGTCTCTCTCTCTGGTCTCTCTCTTGTCTCTCTCTCTGGTCTCTCTCTGGTCTCTCTCTGGTCTCTCTCTGGTCTCTCTCTGGTCTCTCTCTTGTCTCTCTCTCTGGTCTCTCTCTGGTGTCTCTCTGGTCTCTCTCTGGTCTCTCTCTTGTCTCTCTCTCTGGTCTCTCTCTGGTCTCTCTCTGGTCTCTCTCTGGTCTCTCTCTGGTCTCTCTCTGGTCTCTCTCTGGTACACCTGCTACATATGATTCAAGAAAGCAATGTGATCTAGGGCTGTAACAATGAGTGAATTAATCATAAAACTGTGCATAAATAATGTTTATTTATATAGCACCTTTCCACAAAAGCACTTTACAATAGTGGCCGTAGTCTCTCCCTCCTCACATGTCCAAACTCAGGCCCGGGGGCCAATTGCGGGCCCCAGTGTCATTTTCTGTGGCCCTCTGTAGTCTATGAGATCATCTGAATCAGAATCCTTGTATTTCCATGTGAGTAACAGGAAATCATAAACTCGGTGCAAACAAGTTAAAGCAGAGTCAAATCAAAGGCATGCATAAATAAAATCCACATACATTTCTTCAGTTCCCTGTGTCATCCATCCAACTCCAGCTCAGCCCATATAGACATGTCCTAACTCGTTCTAAAGCCCTGTTTGTGGTTGACTGTATTTGCACAAACTGTACTGACAGGTTTTTGATTGTCTCGCTTCTGTTAATGTTGCTAATGAAGCTGGTGAGATGGTAAACATGTGTCATTCAGCCAACTTCAGCTCAGTTATAGATCATCATAAATCTCAGAACAGCCCGATGCCAGTCCAGACAGTTTGTCAGTCTATGATGTCGATCTTAGTCATACTGAGACAGACTGGGATAGACTGAGACAGAACCTTAACCTGCCTCAGTCCTGAGTCTACAGCCTCAGTCCTGGGTCTACAGCCTCAGTCCTGGATCTACAGCCTCAGTCCTGGGTCTACAACCTCAGTCCTGGATCTACAGCCTCAGTCCTGGGTCTACAGCCTCAGTCCTGGATCTACAGCCTCAGTCCTGGGTCTACAGCCTCAGTCCTGGATCTACAGCCTCAGTCCTGGATCTACAGCCTCAGTCCTGGATCTACAGCCTCAGTCCTGGGTCTACAGCCTCAGTCCTGGATGTACAGCCTCAGTCCTGGATCTACAGCCTCAGTCCTGGGTCTACAGCCTCAGTCCTGGGTCTACAGCCTGTTTTCTCACATCTTTCCCCATTGTTTTTGTTTTTTTGTTGAGTTGTTCCTTGCCGATGCAGGACAGTGATGATCCAGAACATGTATCTGTTATAATAATATTAATAATAATTCCCATGTGTCCGATCACTCTGTAGTAAGTGTGTTCCGGTCACTTCGCCAACGAGCGTTCAGCGACACCGTGCGCTAGCATTATCTATTTCCAGAGGCGCCTGTCACTATTTCTGTTTCTGAGAGAAACTGGGGAATCTCTCCTGAGGTCAAGTGACTTTCAACTTCCCCAGAGACACAGCACCTCCGCATCTCCATCTGCAGCCTCAACGGGGACGTCCAGTTTCATATAAATAAGTAGCGTAGATGTTAACGCCTAGCCACGCAGCAAGGGGAAAACCTTTGGGAACCATTTTATTTGCAGTCATTAAGTCGTGTCTGGGTGTGGTTCTCCCTCTCAGTACTTATTTTCTGATTATGACCTGAGTTCTATACATTATCTCTTACTTAAAACTGGTTATCCCGCTCCCTCTGGACCAATGACTGCTCTGTGTTTGTTATTATTGCATCTCTTACGTGCAAACTATTTGATTCTCTGATCTGTTGTTGGTGAATCTCAAACTCAAACTCTAAAGTCCCGAGAAATGACTGCGGTTGAGATTTAGGGCGATACAAAAATATGTTGCATTTACTGTGCTCTCTTTCCATTTTACTGACCTAGTGAAACCCTAAAATCTGATCTTACACTATAATACCAAAGAAACGTAACCTTTTATTCCCACCATAAAACCTCTAAGTAACAGAGTGGACCAGCTGCACCTTCCCCACACACTGTAATTATGGAATCTTCATTAAGTCGACTCAGGCCTGACACAGTGAGGACCAAACCCATAATGAATAATAATAATAATAATAATACATTGTACTTATATAGCGCTTTTTTGGACACTCAAAGACGCTTTACAGAAAGAAAAGAAACCAGAAAGAAAATATTAATATGTGAGCGTCTTTGTATTATCTGAATATCATTTTATCGATGGTTTGTTGGAGTTTGAGGATTCAATGATTTATGCTCAATGTTGAGGACGACACGTGTTTAGACACAAAAACAATCAAATCAATCAATAGTTGTGCGTGAAACACAGTTAAAAACAGCCTGGTCTCTCTCTCTGGTCTCTCTCTGGTTTCTCTCTCTGGTCTCTCTCTGGTCTTTCTCTGGTCTCTCTCTGGTCTCTCTCTCTGGTCTCTCTCTGGTTTCTCTCTCTGGTCTCTCTCTGGTCTTTCTCTGGTCTCTCTCTGGTCTCTCTCTCTGGTTTCTCTCTCTCTGATCTCTCTCTGGTCTTTCTCTGGTCTCTCTCTCTGGTCTTCCACTCTGGTCTCTCTGGTCTCTCTGGTCTCTCTGGTCTCTCTCTCTGGTCTCTCTCTGGTCTCTCTCTGATCTCTCTCTGGTCTCTCTCTCTCTTTGGTCTCTCTGGTCTCTTTCTGGTCTCTCTCTGGTCTCTCTCTGATCTCTCTCTGGTCTAACTCTGGTCTCTCTCTGATCTCTCTCTGGTCTCTCTCTGGTCTAACTCTGGTCTCTCTCTGATCTCTCTCTGGTCTCTCTCTCTGGTCTCTCTCTCTGATCTCTCTCTGATCTCTCTCTGGTCTCTCTCTGGTCTAACTCTGGTCTCTCTCTCTGGTCTCTCTCTCTGGTCTCTCTCTCTGGTCTCTCTCTCTGGTCTCTCTCTGGTCTCTCTCTGGTCTCTCTCTGGTCTCTCTCTGGTCTCTGTGGTCTCTTTTCTTTGGCAGTCACAGAACCAACAAGCAAACTTGAAATCAAAATGATGCAGAGATGAAAGTGAAGCAGAATCTTAGAGTTTACGCAGAAAGAAGAGACGCTGACGATCTTCCTTAATCCTTCTCAGGTCATTAGAGCTAAACCCAGAAACAGCCTCCTATAGTTTTGTCATGAGACCATCAGGTGGTGGAGCCTCCAGCAGGAAACTGACCCCGCCCCCTTTAAGGAAACACAATTAAAGGCCGTTTGTGTTCATTTAAAGAACTCTATAAATGTTTGAAACCACACTTCAGCCTCAGCCTCTTAAAACGTGTCTCGCATATCACCAGAATGATTGACAATTAGGACCATTTCAATCTGAAGAGACCAAGACAGAAACATTAATGCATGAAAAATATTTATTTATTTGGCGCATTGACCCCGGCAGTGACACTTGCAGAGGGGAGATCACTGCTGCTGTAGATGATCTCAGACCTCCCGGGGTCAAGCACTGGTGGTGGCTAGAAACATGGTGTGAATGGGGCGCAGGCGGAACAGGAGCCAGAGCAGGAGCCAGAGCAGGAGCCAGAACAGGAGCCAGAGCAGGAGCCAGAGCAGGAGCCAGAGCAGGAGCCAGAGCAGGAGCCAGAGCAGGAGCCAGAGGGAGGTGGTGGGTGTTGAGAGCCTCAGGAAGCGCTGTTTATCAGGAAGTGGCTGCCTTTTAAACTGCCCGCTTTGCTGTCAGTGGGTTGGCAAGAGGGTGGCCGGGCTGTCTGATTGGCTGAGGCTTGAGGCTGGCAGAGCTGTGTGATTGGCTGGCCCTGGACGGGTGAGAGCTGCAGCATGGGCTTCTCTGTCTGAATTTGCGCTTCAGCTTCATTAGTAGGATCCACACAGAAGAGGGAAATCCTCTCACATACATTTAAACTCAGGTATAGCTTACATTACCGTGTTCCAACAAAAAGCAACACATTTCTGTAATTACAAAACCTTTGTTACATTCCTCCCAACATTGCTCTAGATCAGGGGTCCCCAACCTTTTTCAATCAGAGAGCTACTTTTGTACAATAGAAGAGCCAAAGAGGACCTCGGGGGGATTTATGAAAACATTTTCTTCCTCCTGCTCTCCACTTTAACAGTAAAATTCACAGTTCAATTGACTCTCACTCATTTTTGCTCTTACAAGAGGAACTATACATTTACGCCATGGTAATTTACTTCCTAAAATCACTTATTTTTGAGTAATAGTTTTTCCATAACAAGTCCATTTTAGAAATTGCTCAAATCATTACTACCCTCCTAAAAATGTGAATTATGACAAAAAGATCTACAATTATTCCACATACCATTTATTTGGCACCAAACATTTGCTCTCAATAGAAAATTCTCATTCCATTTGTGAACATGCGCTTCCGAGCCACAGGTTGGAGACCCCTGCTCTAGATGTAGAGCAGTGTAGAGCAAAAACCTGATAATGACATATATGTGTCGGTAACATCTGTATCTCTCTGGGCCCTCAGGTACCGCGGCTTCACCCTGGTGCTGACCTTCCTCTTCTACACGGCCTACCATCTCTCCAGGAAACCCATCAGCATCGTCAAGGTGCGCCGCTGGACTCTCTCTGACAGAAGAGAGTTGTGTTGACCATTCTTTTGTGTGTTTTCCAGAGTGAGCTCCACAGAAACTGCTCCAACGTGATCCGCCCCTCAGACCTGAACACCAGCGACAATGCCACATGGTGCGACTGGGCCCCGTTTGGTGAGAGGCAACAATAAACATTCTACCATCCATCCATCCATCCATCCATCTTCTTCCCCTTAATCCATTTCTGGGTCGGGGGGGTGGCAGTCAAATGAATACGTTATTCTGTTTGCTGAGTCTGCTTGGTTCGGACCATTTTCCCTGCTTTGGTTCAGAGTGAAATTCTAAATGCTTTATTATCATTCCTCCAGTGGATGTGTTTGGCTGGGACCATCGTCTCCGCTTTGGTCTGGATCAGTGTAAAACCATGAACACTGTACTGCAGCAACATTTACAGCTCCTCCCCCCCTGCTCCTCCCTGAAGTGGCTTTGTTATAGAGCAGGGGTGCCCAAACCTTTTGCTTCCAAGGGCCAAAGTAAAACTTTGCCAGTCGGCCGCGGGCCAAATACACCGATATTACGCATGAAACACAAATAAATGTAGATTTGATCAAGTTCAATTAAATGCATTAATTATTGTCTATCACGAATCACAGCTGAATGAATGAAATCAACACAGTCTTAGTGAAGTGGAGACTCCAGGGAAATATGCGGATTTGAGGAGACTACAGTACGGAAAGATTCCGGCCGCGTAATCAGGGTCCAGAGGAGGGAGATTTTCTGTCATGGCTTATTTAAAGGTTAAAATCATATAAAAAACCTCAAAAAGAGAACAGAAACATACATTTTCTATGTAAATAAACTGTTTTTTAAATGCTACTTGTAAACAAATAATGTGCCTGCTAGTAAATGAAAGTACTAATTTATATTAAATAATATCATACTCCCAAATTAAATAATCTATATTTTTAACCTGCTCATGTCAGTAAACTGTTTGTTGAAGACCTTTTTCTAAACAGTTTTGCATTACTATAGTACAGTGATTTATAATGTATAGGTTTATTGTACTAATGACATTTACTTTACAAAAGTAAAGTGCTTTTCATATATTTATTTTGAACAAAAGTGTTTAACTACATTTGAATCATATTACTTTATCTTAGCTTTTATCAAAAAGGGGAGACATCACTGATCAATAGATCTGGTTTTAGCACACTTTTAAACATGATCAGGTTTTAACTCTGTTTTAACTTCATATTTTTAACATAGAACAAGTATTCTCAATTAGTAGTGAACTGAATATTAAACGAAAAAAAAACGAAATCAGACTAGTTAACCCTGATTTGTTCCTAGAGTTTGTTTTGTTTTGCCTAAACACAGTACAACATTTATAAACAATCAAAACAAAGTAACTGTTAAAGAGTCCGTGTTTCCGCTCCTCCAAAGGGCTCTTGAACGCATCATAAAACTCCGCGTAAGTTCTGACATTCAATGATCGCGAGTGATGACGGCGCTTACCGGCTTCTTTCATGGGGTTGTAGAAGGGTTTGTTTTGCACGGTATCTGTTGCTTCTACTTACGTGGATCGTGCGCTGCGATCCCTGCTTGTCCTGCTTGAACTCACTCTGAAGTGTGTGTGTCCGTCTTTTTTAACACACCGGGTGGGTGCGGATTGCGCAGGTGAATAGTTCCACTCGCCATTTCCCTCCGGTGAGGAGGGGGAGTGGCAGTTCGCCAGCACAATCCTCTCAATTTGATAAAACATTAAATTGCTCAAAAAAATTATAATAGTAGGCTGAAAAAAAAGAACATAAAGGGGCCTTGTTTTGAAAGATGTGTTTGATTTTAAAAAACATTTTAGTGCAAGTTGATGTGAACCATGAGTGAGGAGTGTATCTCGATACAACAGTAAAGTACTGGACAGTTTCCGTTCAGAGGGCGTTAGTGCGCCCGCGCGATCTCAACCTCACTGTCTGTTCAGTGAGGTTGAGGGACGCAGATAGAAACTTACAGAGGAGGTGGGCAATGTTTGGCGGGCCAACTGATATGGTCCGGCGGGCCAACTTTGGCCCGCGGGCCCCACTTTGGGCACCCCTGTTATAAAGCCTGATGGCGTTAGGGACAAAAGAGTTTTTTAGTCTGTCTTTGGAGCACCTCAGAGAGAGGAGTCTGGAGCTCATGGTGCTTCTCTGGCGGGAATTTTTTTTTTAGTATTATAGAATTTAGTGGGTGGCTCTGGTTGGACAAGATTATGCTCTTCCATATTATAAGCATTTCCCATTTTCTGATTGCGTCCAATGGCTGCATCTGCTCTGTGTTTAGACCAAGACAACTATCAGACGCTGTTCGGAGTCCTGGACAACTGCTTCCTGGTGGCGTACGCCGTGGGAATGTTCTTCAGGTGAGTCTGGATTTCAGATTTTTGTCGGTTAGAAGAAAGGTCTAAGGACATTTATTTTATTGTATCAGATGTACTGAGACAAATAATCTTGGTCAATTGGTTTCTTATTTTCTTGTCGGCTATTGGTAGCTTAACAATTCAACTGATAAGTAAGTTTCTGTGTTTCTCAGTGCCGTCCTGTTTGTCTCCACAGTGGGATGTTTGGGGAGCGGCTGCCTCTGCGTCTGTACCTGAGCGCCGGGATGCTCCTCAGTGGCCTCTTCACTGCTCTGTTTGGCCTCGGCTTCTACTGGAACATCCACTCTCTGGCTTACTATGCTGTTATACAGGTATACACACACACACACACAGGCCCAGAACACAGTCATACAGATACACACACTCACACAGGTCTACTACGCCGTCATACAGGAACACATACACACAGGCCCACTACGCCGTCATACAGGAACACATACACACAGGCCCACTACGCTGTCATACAGGTACACATACACACAGGCCCACTACGTCGGCATATTTTAGCACTTAAAGAGCACGTATGATTCATGTTTTTAAAAAGTGGTAAATTACATTGTGTTTTTATAACAATCTGAATTGACCCAAAATGATCATAGAATGAACATATTCAGTCTATTTAGGTGTGAGCTTATTGTTTTATTGTTTTTACATTTAATTCACATTAAATCTTTCTAAATGCTCCAAATGGGAACAACGCCTCGGCCCTGGCCCTAAACTTTCAATAATGTTGGAAAAGCATGTCACAACCACTGACACTGACTCATGTGTGTGTGTCTCTGTGTGTGTGTGTGTGTGTGTGTCCCTCTGTGTGTGCGTGTGTCTCTCTCTCTCTGTCTCTCTCTCTCTCTCTCTGGTCCCTCTGGCCTCTCTCTGGACTCTCTCTCTCTGGTCTCTCTCTCTCTGGTCTCTCTCTGGTCTCTCTCTGGTCTTTCTCTGGTCTCTCTCTGTCTGGTCTCTCTCTGGTCTCTCTCTGGTCTCTCTCTCTCTGGTCTCTCTCTGGTCTCTCTCTCTCTGGTCTCTCTCTGGTCTCTCTCTGATCTCTCTCTGGTCTCTCTCTGGTCTCTCTTTGATCTCTCTCTGGTCTCTCTCTGGTCTCTCTCTCTGTCAGGTGCTGAATGGCCTGGTGCAGACCAGTGGTTGGCCTGCAGTGGTGGCCTGTGTGGGGAACTGGTTTGGAAAAGGGAAGTGAGTACAGACCAGGCTGAGTCAGGGGCCTCTGCTGCACTGCTCCATACACTACACTACACACATACACACACTACACTACACACATACACACACTACACATCACACATACACACACTACACTACACACTACACATCACACATACACACACTACACACATACACACACTACACATCACACATACACACACTACACATCACACATACACACACTACACATCACACATACACACACTACACATCACACATACACACACTACACATCACACATATACACACTACACATCACACATTCATACACTACACATCACACATACACACACTACACTACACACATACACACACTACACATCACACATACACACACTACACACATACACACACTACACATCACACATACACACACTACACATCACACATACACACACTACACATCACACATACACACACTACACATCACACATACACACACTACACATCACACATACACACACTACACATCACACATACACACACTACACATCACACATACACACACTACACATCACACATTCATACACTACACACATCACACATACACACACTACACATCACACATACACACACTACACATCACACATACACACACTACACATCACACATACACACACTACACATCACACCTACACACACTACACTACACATCACTCATACACACACTACACATCACACATACACACACTACACTACACACATTCATGAGTGTTAACATTATTTAGTAAATATACAGTCAAACAACAGTGTTTGTCATAGCTTCATCATGTGTAGCTATATTTACAATTTCAGTATTTACAGATGTATTTGTATTTACATTTTGTCAGCTCTAAATGTAGAGTTGGAAAGACGTAAAACATGTAGACTCCACATGAATATTTAAATTATATTGTAGTTATGCAGCGTTTAATAATAATAATAATCATTTGTCTGACATAACTGTGTGTGCTTGTGTGTGTGTTTCTGTCTGTCTGTGTGTGTCTTTGTGTGTGTGTCTCTGTCTGTCTGTGTGTGTGTTTGTGTGTGTATCTCTGTCTGTCTGTTTGTGTGTGTTTGCGTGCATGTGTGTCTGTCTGTCTGCGTGTGTGTGTGTGTGTCTGTCCGTGTATATCTGTGAGTATACTGTATCTGTGTGTGTCTGTGTATAACTGTGGATAACTGTGTGTATAACTGTGTGTGTCTGTGTATAACTTTGTCTAACTGTGTGTATCCGTGTATAACTGTGTGTGTCTGTGTATAACTGTCTAACTGTGTATAACTGTGTGTATCTGTGTATAACGGTGTCTAACTGTGTGTATCCGTGTATAACTGTGTGTGTCTGTGTATAACTGTGTATAACTGTGTGTATCTGTGTGTATCTGTGTATAACGGTGTCTAACTGTGTGCCCGTAGGCGTGGCCTCATCATGGGCGTGTGGAACTCGCACACGTCTGTGGGGAACATCCTGGGCTCTCTGATCGCAGGGGCCTTCGTCTCCTCCGCCTGGGGCCTTTCCTTCATTGTCCCCGGGGCCATCATCGCCTCTACCGGACTCCTCTGCTTCTTCTTCCTCGTGGACAGTAAGGAGAGAGAGAGAGAGAGCGAGAGAGAGAGAGATGGGGAGGGAGAGATGCTCCCATCTCCATGTGGAGTGAGAGGACAAGTGCCCAAAAATAACAATTGTAAACCGCTTTGTGACTCTGGTCTGTGAAAGGCGCAATATAAATAAAGATTACTTACTTACTTACTTACTTAAGATTACTTAATTAGAGAGAGAGAGAGAGAAAGAGAGAGGAGATAGAGACAGAGAGAGAGATGGGGAGGTAGAGAGAGAGCTTGTATATGTGTGTTATGATTGTGTTTCTTGTGTTGGACCTCTGGGACGGTGGTTCACTTAGGACAAAACTAAGATGTGACCTGTTTATAGTTGATGTTGTGTCTATAATCCTGTGGTCTCACTGTGGTCTCACTGTGGTCTCTGCTGCAGACTGTGGTCTCATTGTGGTCTCACTGTGGTCTCTCTGTGGTATCTCTGTGGTCTCTCTGTGGTCTCTGCTGCAGACTGTGGTCTCATTGTGGTCTCACTGTGGTCTCTGTTTGTTTTCAGAACCTGAGGACGTGGGCTGCTCCTCCCCACATCAGCACGTGAGTCTCTCTCCTGTCTCTCATGTCCTCTCCTGTCCTCTCTCATGTCTCCTGTATCTCATGTCCTCTCCTGTCCTCTCTCATGTCTCCTGTCTCTCATGTCCTCTCCTGTCCTCTCTCATGTCTCCTGTCTCTCATGTCCTCTCCTGTCCTCTCTCATGTCTCCTGTCTCTCATGTCCTCTCCTGTCCTCTCTCATGTCTCCTGTCTCTCATGTCCTCTCCTGTCCTCTCTCATGTCTCCTGTCTCACACGTCCTCTCCTGTCCTCTCTCATGTCTCCTGTCTCTCATGTCCTCTCCTGTCCTCTCTCATGTCTCCTGTCTCTCATGTCCTCTCCTGTCCTCTCTCTTGTCTCCTGTCTCTCATGTCCTCTGGTGTCCTCTCTCATGTCTCCTGTCTCTCATGTCCTCTGGTGTCCTCTCTCGTGTCTCCTGTCTCTCATGTCCTCTCCTGTCCTCTCTCATGTCTCCTGTCTCTCATGTCCTCTGGTGTCCACAGGGGGACAGCTCAGAGGTGGAGGAGGCAGCAGAGTCAGAGGAGGAGAGTGAGGCCATCAGTTTCTGTGCAGCTCTGAGGATCCCAGTGAGTGACAGCTCCCCCATGGTACACATGTCTCTCTGTACCCGACCTTTCTCACAGCTGTCTGCGGTTCTGTGTGTGTGTGTGTGTGTGCGTCTATGTGTGTGTGTGTGTGTATGTGTCTGTGTGTGTGTGTGTGTGTGTTCACAGGGTGTTCTGGAGTTCTCCTTCTGTCTGCTCTTTGCCAAACTGGTCAGCTACACCTTCCTGTTCTGGCTGCCTTTGTACATCTCCAACGTGGGTCAGTGCCCGCACACAAACACACACGCACACACACACACACTCACTGACTGTGTCCTCTCCCTACAGCCCATTTTGATGCTAAAGAAGCTGGAGACATGTCCACTCTGTTTGACTTGGGAGGAATCGTAGGTATGTACGCACACAAGTATGTTCACCCCCTCACAGCTGGGGGGTGCTGTCCTGACCCCTGACCTCTGACCCCTGTGTGTGCAGGGGGGATCCTGGCTGGACTGGTCTCAGACTACACTGGGGCTCGCGCTGCCACCTGCTGGGTCATGCTGATCACTGCAGCCCCCATGGTGAGTCTGACTGAAGCAGCCAACAACTGTGTGTGACAACTTTTGAGTGTGTGTGTGTGTGTCTCTGTGTGCGTATCTCTGTGTGCGTGGGCATGTGGTAGTGTTCAAAAATAAAAACCTTATTTTTCTAAGTCAGAGAAAGGTGTAAATGAATCAGTGGGGGCGGGTGGCCAAAATGATGTGCGCTGACATGCTGCAATACCGCCCCGGGCCTGTGGGGGTGGTCCAGAAGTAGAATTAGCCAATGCTAACATATAGCATTGGCAGACCTCTCAAAAACGTCTTTACAGGATGGACCAAAAGTGGCTCTTGGCCCAAAGCTCCGTTCCAGATGTTTGTCGATGTTGAGGGGAGGGTATTTTTTGGACCAGTCTAGTTTACTCGCTGTGGACTTCAGAATGGACCAACATTTGAAATCAACATAACTTTGTTTCATGTGAGAATCATAAAACCTGATGTTTTTATCTTATAATAAGATAAGGTGAAATAAAGTGTGTGTGTCATTCTTGTGTTTCAGTTGTTTGTCTACAACAGTGTGGGTCAGCAGAGTCTGGGGATGTCTGTCGGTGAGACTTTTACAAACATTTAATATTTACAGCATTCATAAGTTAGTCACTAACACACACACTGACACACACACACACTGACAGACTAACACACACACTGACACACACACGGACTGTATATCAGTATGTCAGTGTGTTAGTATGTGTGTTTGTGTTTCAGTGTGTTAGTGTGTTTGTGTATCAGTGTATTAGTGTGTGTGTCAATGTGTGTAACCAGCCCCTGTGTGTGTGTGTGTGTATAACCGGCCCTTTTGTGTGTCCTAGTGTCTATGTGTATAACCGGCCCCTGTTTGGGTTTGTGTGTGTATCCTAGTGTGTATGTGTATAACCAGCCCCTGTGTGTGTGTCCTAGTGTGTGTGTATAACCGGCCCCTGTTTGTGTGTGTCCTAGTGTGTGTGTGTGTGTGTGTGTGTGTGTACAACCGGCCCCTGTGTGTGTGTGTGTATAACCGGCCCCTGTGGGTGTATGTGTATAACCGGCCCCTGTGGGTGTGTGTGTATAACCGGCCCCTGTTTGTGTGTGTATAACTGGCCCCTGTGTGTGTAACCGGCCCCTGTGTGTGTGTATAACCGGCCCCTGTGTGTGGCCACAGGGATGCTGCTGCTCTGTGGGGCCCTGGTCAACGGCCCGTACGCTCTCATCACAACAGCGGTGTCTGCAGATCTGGTAACACACTCCGTTTACAAACCACTGCATCAATAATCACAGGACATACAAAAGAAGAACACACAAATGACACAATCAGCTGTTTGTAATCAGTGAACATGACTGCTTCTGTTTTCTCACGCCTGCTTTAGTGACATCATGTGTGTGTGTGTGTGTGTGTGTGTTCAGGGGACCCACCAGAGTCTGAGGGGGAACTCCAGGGCCCTGTCCACTGTCACGGCCATCATCGACGGCACCGGCTCCGTGGGTAAGTCACACTGGTCTCTCTCTGGTCTCTTTCTCTGATCTCTCTCTGGTCTCTTTCTCTGGTCTCTCTCTGGTCTCTCTCTCTCTCTCTCTGGTCTCTCATCGGTGGTTTCTCTCTGGTCTCTCTCTGGTCTCTCTCTGGTCGCTCTCTGGTCTCTCTCTCTCTCTCTGATCTCTCTCTCTGGTCTCGCTCTGCTCTCTCTCTCTCTGATCTCTCTCTCTGGTCTCTCTCTGCTCTCTATCTGCTCTCTATCTGCTCTCTATCTGCTCTCTCTCTGTCTCTCTGGTCTCTCATCGGTGGTTTCTCTCTGGTCTCTCTCTGGTCTCTCTCTGCTCTCTCTCTCTCTCTCTTTCTGGTCTCTCTCTGGTCTCTTTCTCTGGTCTCTCTCTGGTCTCTTTCTCTGGTCTCTCTCTGGTCTCTCTCTCTGGTCTCTCTCTGCTCTCTATCTGCTCTCTCTCTCTCTCTCTGGTCTCTCATCGGTGGTTTCTCTCTGGTCTCTCTCTGGTCTCTCTCTGCTCTCTATCTGCTCTCTCTCTCTCCCTCTCTGGTCTCTCATCGGTGGTTTCTCTCTGGTCTCTCTCTGGTCTCTCTCTGCTCTCTATCTGCTCTCTCTCTCTCTCTCTCTCTCTGGTCTCTCATTGGTGGTCTCTCTCTGGTCTCTCTCTGCTCTCTCTCTCTCTCTTTCTGGTCTCTCTCTGGTCTCTTTCTCTGGTCTCTCTCTGATCTCTCTCTCTGGTCTCTCTCTGCTCTCTATCTGCTCTCTATCTGCTCTCTCTCTCTCTCTCTCTCTCTCCGGTCTCTCATCGGTGGTTTCTCTCTGGTCTCTCTCTGGTCTCTCTCTGCTCTCTCTCTCTGGTCTCCCTCTGGTCTTTCTCCTCGGGCAGGTTGTTCCAAAGGCGAGGAGCACAGACAGGGAAGGCTCTATCACCGGAGCCTCGACCTTGGAACAGCCACCAAGGACCTGCCCAAGGATCTAAGGCTGCGGGGGAAGGGCCCGCCGGGGGTTAGGATCATAAATATAGCTTTAAAAGTAATCAGTAAAATCTTAAAATCAATTCTAAAACGCACAGGGAGCAGGTGGAGGGATTCAAACACAGGGGTGATGTGCTCTCCTCTATTAAAACCAGTGTGTGTGTGTGTGTGTGTGTGTGTGTGTGTTTGTGGGTTGACCATGAAGCCTCACTGACCTCTCTGTCCCTAGGAGCCGCTGTGGGGCCACTGCTCGCCGGGATCATCTCCCCCAGCGGCTGGAACAACGTCTTCTACATGCTGATCAGTGCGGACGTGCTGGCCTGCCTGGTACACACACACTCACATATACAGACACACACACACATACACAGACGCGCACACACACACACACATGCAAACACAGACACACACAGACGCACACACACACAGACACACACAGACGCTCACACATACATACGCACACAGACACACACACACTCACACACACACACATACAGATGCTCTCACACACACACACACACACACACACATACAAACCAGTGGGGGTGAGTCCCAGCTCAAAAGTGGCCAAAATGACGTGCGCTGACATGCTGCAATACCACCCCGGGCCTGTGGGGGTGGACCCAGAAGTAGAATTAGCCAATGCTAACATATAGCATTGGCAGACCTCTCAAAAACGTCTTTACAGGATGGACCAAAAGTTGGCTCTTGGCCCAAAGCTCCGTTCCACATGTGTGTCAATGCTGAGGGGGGTGAATTTTTAACTCATTGAATGCCAGCCTATTTCAGAACAGGTACTCCCACAGTGCCAGCCATTTCTGATGATTTTTACTGATTTTTCAAGACCCACAGAATATTGTGTACTATGACTATCTGAAATCCGACACCAGATTCTAAAAGAATGGACTGTGTACTTTCCTCAGCAAAAAGAATTTTGTTTATAGCTTTTTTCGTTCCCCTGTAATCCTCCGTCGAGTAGAGGGAAGTTTTACTGAAATCACCAGAAATCACCAGAAAGTTGAGAAAAAAGAGGCACAACATGTGCACCTACATATTTTCAAACCATTCAGAGAGCAATGCTGCCACCTGCTGGCTCGATAAAATATGGTCTCAAGTCATCCCCATACATATTAGATACAATAGACATCTGGGAACGTGAAAATAGCGAAAAAGGCAATTGACGGATTAATGCGTCAATGGCACACGACGTTACTATTTGCTTTGACGTATTTGTGCGTCAATGGGACACAATGGTCCACTCTAGTTTACTCGCTGTGAATTTTTGAAGTCTCTCGTTCAAATGAATGGAGCTGCGCCGGCTGACGCATGCGCAGATGCGTTTTTTCACAATTTTCTTGTGGGCGGGACCACTCGCGGCCATTTTGGATTGCTCCAGTAGAGCACATTTTTTGGCCCATTAGTTAGAACGGCGGAGATAGGCGTGACTCTGTCCGTTAATATATACAGTCTATGATACGAACGCAAACACCCACTCACACATACAGACACACCCACACACTCACACATACAGACACACATACACAGACGCACGCACACACACACACAAACACATACATAAAAACACAGACTGGTTGCCTGGCTTCTGTCAGTGTGCCCCAGGGCAGCTGTGGCACCCTGACAGTAGTTTATCCACACCGTGTACGTTGTGAATGAATGACGTGTGTAGTGTCTTTGAGAGTCCAGAAAAGCTCTGTGCAAAAGTGATTCTTATTATTATTAAAATCAGTCCGAGACTGAACTGGAGGAAAGTCTTTCAAGAATTGTTTTTTCTCGTCCAAGTTGAAACAAACTGAAACTGAGGTCGTTCTGGTCATGAAAATCATACTGCGTGGATTTAAACTGCTTCCTACTCACAGAAGGATTGTCATTGGTCAAGATTAAATTAGATTAAACTTTATTGTTATTACAATATCAGAAAAACGCAACAAAATTCAGTTTAGCATCAAAGCAGTCGTGCAATAGTAAGTATAGGATCATATTTACAACACAGATATATATATATATATATATATATGAGACTGTACAAAGCTGCTACTGCTGTGTATACATTATGTAACATGTGTGTAACGTGTGTGTTATGTCTGTGTAACATGTGAGTAATGTGTGTGTAACGTGTGTGTGTGCAGCTGCTGTCCCGTCTCGTCTACAAAGAGCTCCGCGGCTGCTGTGGGCGGCGCCGAGGGTAAGACACACCCCTTTCTCTCTGTAACCATGGCAATTCGACCTTGACTATTGCTGTGTTGCAACCACGTGACCAAAAGGGGGCGTGGCAAGGGGCCGTAGGACAGGAAGTATATTTATCCTAATAAATAGAATGGGCGATGCGGGGAAACGCACACACAGGAGCTTTTCGTGGCTTGGTATCACGCTTATGAGTGAAAACTATTTTTAATGCAGCGTACGCCTTGTAGAGTTTGAATGAGATCATTTTTTTCAACAATGAGGAGGATTAAGGCTGTTATAGTGACGACAGTGGAGCAACAGAACCACGTCTGAGATGATAGTTCTGATCAATAATACAATAAATACAATATAAATTTTACTTTTAACAACATTTGAGGCGAGAAATATGACCCTTTATTGCCATTTCGGTGATTGGTTGAGCTGTACGACAAAAAGTTCTGACTTATTCTCCAGGGGGGGGGCCTGTAGCGTTAAGCTAACAGCGTAAAGCTAATAATGGGGGGGGCTGCGATGAACGCAGCCGCCCTGGGGGCACAGAGCTCGGATAAAACTTCAGACATTACCCTGGTCCTCACAGTCTCAGACCCTGGTCCTCACAGTCTCAGACCCTGGTCCTCACAGTCCCAGACCCAGGTCCTCACAGTCTCAGACCCTGGTCCTCACAGTCCCGGACCCTGGTCCTCACAGTCTCAGACCCTGGTCCTCACAGTCCCGGACCCTGGTCCTCACAGTCTCAGACCCTGGTCCTCACAGTCTCGGACCCTGGTCCTCACAGTCCCAGACCCTGGTCCTCACAGTCCCAGACCCTGGTCCTCACAGTCCCAGACCCTGGTCCTCACAGTCCCGGACCCTGGTCCTCAGTGACTAGAGTATATGTGAGAAGATTTAAGATTGTACAGCCTTTAGCTTTGTTACACATGTTTTTGTTTTTTTATAACTTTGTTACACATGTACATGTTGGTTTGGCATTAAAAATGTATTTAACAGTTCTCTCTGTTGCTCGGTAGAATCTACACCCCTCTCGTGCGCCTGCCCTACCCAGTCCCCTAGCGCGCCCCCCTGTTCTCCCTCCCTGTCGTCCTGCCGTCGGTTCCCGCACCTGTTTACTCTGGTACAACCTGCCTCTCCTGATGTCACTGCTTCACGCATCCCCTGCTGACTACACGTCGCTCTCCCGCCTGCTCTGTTTGTTCGCCTCTACCGCTCTTGCCTGGAGTCGACTCCCTTGTGGTGGTCACGGATGGGGCTTTCACTGAATGCTGCGAACTCCCCTGCTCTCGTGGTTTGGGGCCTGCGGTTCCGCTCCTTCCCCGCTTGAGTGGGCTCCTGACCTGGGCTGGTCCCATCGCGGACCGCCTCTCCCTTCTTTGTAGTCTGTCTCGACTGGCATGCGTCACCGGGCGCTTCGCGGCGCGCCCTGGCCTTCTCTCAGGCTGCCGCTGAGACGGGCAACTCAGCGGCCCCCCTGAGGCTTATTTGTCGGTCCCACTTACTACGCCTCCTTACGTTCTCGCCCTATCGCTTTCGGCTACGGGGGGTCGGCGCTTGTTCTCCTCGGCGCCCGCTTGCGCTCCAGCACTCTCTCTTCCGTGCTGGTCTGCGCCCCTCTTTTCAGCCCTCTCTGCGCACTCCCTCCGTTTTCTGCCTTCCTCCGGGATCGGGCGCTCCCGTGACCCACTGCGGGGGGGGCTTCTCCCTCCCGGCTTGCTCTCGTGGCTCCCGCTGTTCGTTTCCTCTGGCTGACCCTCTGCTTTCGCCTCGTCTCGTCGGCCACGCACACTTCTTCTTAGGGGCCTGGCGGCTCTGCCTCCTGCTCCTCCTTGCTCCTCCCTTCCTCTGCGTCGGCTCGCCGGGTTGTCTCCGCTCCGCTCCTTTCCTTTCGCCTCCTCTCGCCTCCGTCGTGCCTTCTCTTTCCTGCCTCTTCTACTTCATCCTGCCCCCGCCCTCTTCGGGGCTCTGGTCTTCTCCCTTCCGGACCCTGCCTTCCTCCTCCTATCGCTCACGGCTCCCTTCTCCCTTTTCCACCTGAAGCTTCCCCTCTCCCGCTCCGCCTCCGTGTTGCCCACCGCTGGGGGGGATCTCTCGCTCCCTCCGAACTCGGTCGGGCCCAACATCTCACATCCAGCGACCCGCGCCTCACGGCCACCGCGCTCCGATGAGGGCTCGCTTCCTTCCATCACGTTCTGTGCTGGTTGAAGAGGGGAAAAATGTTGAAAAAAACCATCTGCAAATGCAATATGGACCTCATAAAGAAACGGAAATCCTTGTGATTTTTTCGAAGAACAAATGCGAACTGCAGTAGCATACAAAGAAAAAAAAGAACGAACATGAGAGAAAAAACGTGTGGTCAAACGGCAGTCGGGGAAATCTAAAACGACCCATAATAGAACAGAGAAAATGCATAGCGAAAAAAATCGAGACACTAAAATTGATAAAGGAAAAAATGGGATTGAGAACGCCTCTCCGCTTTTAACTAATTAATGAGCCTTGGTTCCATCCTACTCTCTCAACTCTCGGGTCCCAAACTGCCGTCTCCGTCTTGCCTTCCCTCCTCTTTCCAGTCCTGTCTTTACCTCCCCAGAAACAGAAAGAGGCTCTTTTCACGTGCTTCAGCCTTTGTAGTGTTAATAGTTTGGTTTTGAAAACGCAAACATTCAAAAGTCTCCTGTCGTCTGCTTTTTTCTTAATCGCTCGTGACAGGGCAGGGTGTAAGCCCGTTGTAAAATAATAAACTCGTAAAAAGTCGTGGTAACTAACGTACCGTAATATCGTACGTTAACTCGTTGATACAACCGTTAACGGTCTAAGCTTTATTTCGTAATTTCTTGTATAAAACCAACGAGGGCTCTCAGTTTTGACTACTACTGTTCTCATACATTAGACATAAAAAAAGAGGTATGAGAGTGGTGTGAAGAGAGACGCCGATTGTTGTACAAATGTTAATATAAATGGTTTATTTTATTGTGATGCGCCATTTAGTGTACCGTGCTACCTTACCCCGTCTTTGTCCCCGGTTCTATCGGCGCTGTGGGCTTTTGTTTTGACTGTTTTATTCTTTTTTTCTTGCCTGGCTCTTCGCCTTGCTGGTTTGTGACGAGAGCCCTTTGGGGGGCCCCCTCTGGCCCGCCAATCCTAGTGAGCTTCGGCGGTCACACTGCTCCTCTCGGTGTTTTTTTTATTTTGTTGCTGTTTGGTTAGTTTGCCATCTGTTTTTTTTTTAGCCGCCTATCCTTTGTTTTGGTTTGCCCTTATCTGTTCTCTAGGAGCGTCGTCGAGCAGCGCAGGGTTCTTCTTCCTTTTGTTCTCTTTCGGGAGTTGTATTCATTCCTATTGTAGCGGCGGTCTGGGTTTTCGAGCAGGTTAGTCGTGCAGCTATACTCCAGTTGTGCTCGAGTATTAGATGAACCAGTGTGCAGCCCCTCTGTCAAGCACATTTTAAAACCGTGGGGGGGGCCTTTATCAAATTTTTTTTTATATTTAAAAAGAGGGGCCAATATTTCACTTTTTATCGCTCCATTTTTTGCACACTAAGGCAGTCATCCTCTGGTTGCCTATTCCGTTTTTCGATACGTTAGCACATGCGTGAGATAACTATACTTGGGGTGCTGTGGTGTGTGAGTACACAACACTCAAAAAAACTCTAAATTATTTTTGCCAATTTTTTCATGCATAGAGTGATGTGATGTCCACTATGTGGAAAAGAGTGCATACCGCTTGGATCTGTGCCTTCCTCTGCCTCTGTTGACGCACCGAACTCCCTATGTCCTCGATCCCAGAATCAGACCCGCTGATTATTTTTAGTTCACAGTGTCGTACAGAGTGTTGTAGGTTTGGTATTTAGCTTCATTGTAACTCACATCTAGGTTACCTTGTTTTAGGCATCTCTTTGTTTTTATTGTTGGAATAACATGTTTTCCGATCAGCTTTTTTGAGTAGGTCACTTCACGTTAGCAAGGAAACTGCAGTTCTGGAACAGGTCTTTGTGTTAGGGCCGGGGCGTACGGGGTAAGGGGTTCCCTGATTCGAGTTTTTTTAGTTGTCTGTTTTTCGTTCTTGATTTGCCGGTGTCGACGTCACTCAAAAGAGACTATCTGGTGACGTTTTTGTAGCGTGTATTTCGGCCTGATGATTTTTTTCGGAACGCTATTAGTTTCGGACACTCATGCGGGTATACTGAGCAGGGCAGATCACTTGTGAACAAAGTGCCTTCAGAGAAGTCAAATACTCTCGGTCATCTTAATCTGTCACCACAACCCTGATTGTATCCAACGTCACATGAAAGGTAACACAGAACAAGCACAGAGGCTTTCCGTTTACCAGTCTATGGACCACAACGCTGGACGGACTGAGAAGGGGCTATGCAGCTGGACCCACACTAGACAGCGCTGATTTGACTGGTTCCATTTTGCAGTCCTTCTCCCGCTCGTCACATCACCTCTTGGAGGCGGGCCGCGGGCTTTTGACGTTGTTATGATTTAGCGGCTGCCTTTAACTTCAAAATATTGAATCATATTCGACATATTCAAAAAAAAAAAACAAACTGTTTTTATCATATATATTTATTATATCGAGTCGTCGGGCCATCGACCAACGAATATTAAATATTCTTTCCTGCACGATATACTAGGGCAAAATAACACACCCAGCAACTAGTACGGCCTGCTCTCTGGTGTCGGGCAGGGCCACCCCACGCTTGCCCGCTGATTCCCTGCCCAGCGCCTATACGGGCGCGCCGCCTTAAAAAAATTTGCGTAATGTATTTCATGGCCTCTTGTAAAGTAAAGATGAGGGTTAGCTCAGAATGGGGTGTAGGTTCTCGCTTGTGACGATGGCGTAGCGGCGGCTACCAGACTAGTAGCTAGGTCTCAATGAAACTCCTCTCAAAACTACAATAAAAAACTCTCGAACAACTAGATTCTGAGTCTTCTCCTTAAACGCGCTGTGTGGTGGTGCAGTGATCCCATTCTTATACTCGCTAACGCTGTAGAAACCTAAATCCCATAATTCAGATCCTCTCCAAATGGTTGTCCTAACAAATGGTTCGTATCATGTTACTGAATTGCGCGCGTAGGAGACTCAGTGTTTGTAGACGTATTCATCAGTATAAGTTTGGTAGGTAGAGGACAAACCTCGGCGGAAAGTCCCTACAGTAGCGGCAAGTTACGTCCTTCTGCACAGGGCCATGGAACTTTGAAGGGTACTGCTGACAGCTGGTCGCCCGGCCTGGCTACAGTGTCAGATCTCTTTGTAACAAGTCTTTTTTACCTCACCATAATTTTATTTGTTTCATAATCTTGATCTTATGTTCATGGCTGAAACTTGGCTTGACCAAAATTCAGAAATGCAGTTTTAATAGAAGCATCGGAACCACCAAATTTCAAGTTTGAATCTGAAATACGGGAAAACAAAAAAGGAGGAGGCTTAGCTGCCATTTTCAGAGACCACTTTGTCTCCCATAGAATGTCTCTTGGGAATGTTTTCGTCTTTTGAATATGTGTCTTTTAAAATACAACAAAAACAATCTCCTCCAATACTCTTCATTGTCCTATACAAGCCACCGCAGTCAGGTCACAGTTTTATGATAATTTTACCGAGTTGCTTTCAGTTGTATGCACAGATTTTGATAGTTTGTTATTACAGGTGATTTTTAATATTCATGTGGAAAATGTTGATGACAGAAATGCAAATGAGCTGAGTTCTGTACTTGAATCCTTTGATCTCACTCAGCACGTAAGTGGCCCCACCCACAGCAGAGGGCACACTCTAGATCTGTTAGTTACTAAGGGGGTGAATATTTCAAATGTAAACGTGGTCGATGTTGCTCTTTCGGATCATTTCTGTGTTTTTTTTGACATGTGTTTCACTAACACAAACCACCAGTGGACTCTGCAACTGTACGAAGAAGACACATAAATGAAAATACGAGTGAAAACTATTTATGGGAATGATAAACTTTGAGAATGCATCGTATTCTACTGTAGATGAACTGTTTAACTCTGTCACCTCTAGTGTTTTGAATGTTCTGGATACCGTTGCCCCTGTGAAGGTTAAAATAGTGAAAAAATAAGCAGAAGGCGCCGTGGGCTAAAGCAGACTCGGTCAGGGCACAAAGAGAAAGTGCCGGAGGGCCGAGCGGAAGTGGCGCAAGTCCAACCTCCAGGTTGATTACGAGATCTTCAAAGATAAGTTGTGCGAGTTTAACCGGGTGCTACGTAGTTACGAGAGAAAGGTATTTTTCTGAAATGATTGAAGGCTGCAGCAACAATCTGCGTGTTCTGTTTTCAACAGTTAATAGATTAACAAACCCCCTGTTCAAATGCCATTAGAGCTTACTTCCAAACGTAAATGCAATGAGTTTGCAAATTTTTTCAATGACAAGGTTCAAGGCATCAAAAACGCCATTGTCTCCAATCCACAGATAACCATCCAACAGCCAGAAAGGCTCTCTGAGCTAACTCACTTTGCACCTGTAAATGATAAAACTGTCCAAGAGATAATCTCCAGTTTGAGCTCCTCCACATGCAGCTTGGATGTACTACCCACTAGATTTCTGAAGTCTGTTCTGAGCAGTCTGTTACCTTCACTCACACAGATAGTAAACATGTCCCTTCATTCTGGAATATTCCCAAAGGCCCTGAAAACTGCAGTCATCAGGCCCCTGCTAAAAAAGAGCAGTCTCGATGCTACGGTACTTAACAACTATCGTCCCATCTCAAAATCTGCCATTTATGGGGAAAGTCCTTGAAAAAGTTGTCTACCTACAGCTTACTAGATTTCTTATAATCAACAACTCATTTGATATGTTTCAGTCCGGCTTTAGACCCCACCACAGCACTGAGACTGCTCTCGTCAAGGTTACAAACGATATCCGGCTGAACACTGACGCAGGCAAAGTCTCAATCTTAATCTTGTTAGATCTAAGTGCTGCCTTTGACACCGTCGACCATGAGATCCTCTTACAGAGACTAGAGGACTGGGTTGGAGTCGCTGGCACCGCCCTAAGTTGGTTTAGGTCTTACCTTGAGGACAGGAAGTACTTTGTGGAGATTGGAAACTGTGTCTCAGATTCATATGGCCCTGACCTGTGGAGTACCACAGGGGTCGATCCTGGGACCTCTTCTGTTCAATCTCTACATGCTGCCGTTAGGTCAGTTAATACGCAGAAACGAAGTTTCCT